TTTATTTTTTTTTTTTATTTGATCCAAATTATTCAAAGAAAAAGTTTCGTTCATATCAATTAGTGAATAATTCTTTAATATATCAAACAAAGAACTTATAGGTTCGCTAAAAATTTTCTTATATTATGATATGATAACGAATGTAAGATCAGCAAGCAAAATTCTAATATTTAACTTACTCAGCTTCAATATCCGTAAATAAGCAACTAACTTTGATATATCGTAATAAAAAAAAAGATCCCGCTATTGAATTTTGCGCAAAAGTTCGGATGACGTATATTATTCATCAATCAAATCAATTTGGACAGTTGGAGATAATCTATTCCTATTGTCCTATTTGAATAAGTAAACTAATCTAATGAAAGAAAACTATCGAATTGTCTGATCGCACTGATCATGCAAATTACTGCGCCTGCAGCAAAAATTTTACCGCAGCAAGGATTTAAGTGATTTCCCCTGCGTACCATTCAAAAATGTCACGAAAATTCACGTGACTGTTTTTTTGTCACATCCGTCACACCCTTCCTTGTTTCCATTTTTCATAAGTATCTGAGGGACTTTGTTTTTTTCGAGTAAGTAAAAACGTCCTTATTCGTCACTGTTTATTTTCACGTGTTAGTGCATAACGCCGTAATGCCGGCCGTTTCGTGACATTTTTGAAGGGTATGCAGGGGTAGTCGGATTTAAGTTTATCATGTGATTTGGCTTCTTTAATTTAAAAGGCGTAAATCTGCAAACATTATTACACCGCATTTTTTAATTGTAATACAACAATGCAGTGTACCCATACTGCCTCTAATAAAGTTTTACAAACGTTCTTGGCTTTTAATTATCGGCTTCTTTCTCATAAAGTTTCTCGAAATAAAATGTCATCAAATGATGATTTAAATGATGAAACATTTTTAAAAGAATTTTTAAAAGATTTTTATCATTGTATCATAAAATTAGATAATTATGAAAATTTTGAAGATATTTTAAAAGAATGGGTACAAGATTATTTTAACAATAAAGAAAAAAATCCTGAAATAATTTTAAAATTAATGGAAAATCATGAAGAAAATGATAATTGGTTTTCAAGTTTAATAGGATTTTTTTATGATCATGGTATAGGTGATACAGTTATCGACAAAAATAAATCATTGAAATCATACTTATTAGCAATTAATATAAATAAAAACGGAAATAAAAAATTAATTTCTATGTATCAATTATTAAATATTATTATTTCAAAATATTTATTATCATTTTATTATTATAAGGAAATTATTTTATATAAAAGAGACTTGATTGAAAAAGAATTTGGATATTTAGAAAATGTTCATGTTGTAATGTCGCATAATCAAGTTGAAAATTTTAATGGATTAGAAATAAATTTATGTAAAGATGAAATAAATACTATGGAAAAATTTTTTGAATCACAAGATAAAGGTTTTAATGAAATTCAAATAGAAAAGAAGAAATTAATAGAACTAAATAATTTAGGTTATTGTTATCAATATGGAGTAGGAAAAAAGAAAGATGAATTTAAAGCATTTGCATTTTATTTAAAATCAGCTGAAGGAGGAAATTCTGATGCACAAAATAATTTAGGTTATTGTTATCAAAATGGGATTGGAATAACAAAAGATGAGAAAAAAGCATTTGAATGGTATTTAAAAGCTGCTGATGAAGGTGATTTACGTGCACAATATAATTTAGGTATTTGCTATCAAAATGGAGTAGGAGTTGATAAAGATGTTAAGAAAGCCTTTAAATGGTATCTAAAATCGGCTAAAGGAGAGTATTCACTAGCACAGTATACTTTGGCCAATCACTACCAAAATGAAGGTGAAGTAGAAAAAGATTTAGAAAAAGCTATTTATTGGTATAGTAAGTCAGCAGATAATGGAAATAAAATTGCACAATATAATTTAGGTAATTATTATAAAAATGGAAAAGGCATAGAAAAAGATGATATGAAAGCCTTTAAGTACTATAAAAAATCAGCTGAACAGGGTCATTTGGATGCTCAATTTGAATTAGGAAATTGCTATGATAAAGGAATTGGAACTGAAATTAATAATATAAAAGCTTTTGAATTATATAACATAGCAGCTGAAAAAGGTGATAATTGTGCACAAAGTAATTTAGGATTATTTTATGAAATTGGTAAAGGAACTGGAATGAATTTAGAAAAGGCTACTTACTGGTATAATAAGGCAGCAAAAAATGGATATAAAGTAGCACAATATTATTTGGGCAATTGTTATTTAAGTGGTAAAGGGGTTGAAAAAAATGAACTTAAAGCATTCGAATATTACAAGAAATCAGCAGATCAAGAATATTTAAATGCACTATATCAACTTGGATATTGTTATTATAATGGGATTGGCACTGAAATAAACAATACAAAAACATTTGAATCTTGGAAAATAGCAGCTGAAAAAGGTAACAATTATGCACAAAATGGTTTAGGATTTATGTATGAAAGTGGTGAAGGAACTGAAAAAAATACGGAGAAAGCTTTTTATTGGTTTGATAAAGCAGCAGAAAATGGAAATAGGGATGCACAATATAACTTAGGTGAGTGCTATGAATTAGGAAATGGTGTATATAAGGATGAAATTAAGGCATTTGAATGTTATAAGAAATCAGCTGAGAACGGAGTTATACATTCGAAATTTCAGCTTGGATATTTCTATGTGAATGGTATTGGAACTGAAGTTGATAAGGAAAAAGGATTTAAATTATATAATGAAGCAGCTGGCAGTAATATCCAAGTTGATATTATTGAAAATGATGAGGAATTAGTGAATGACTTAGATAAAGTTAATTATTGGTACCATAAAGCTGCAGAAAATGACAATGGATTGGCATTATTTAAGTTAGGTAGTTTTTATGAATTATGCAAGGGTTTTTGTGAAAACCACATGAGAGCATTTGAATTTTATAAAAAATCAGCAAATCAAGGATTTATTGATGCTCAATATAAACTTGGATACTTTTATGAAAATGGAATTGGTACAGATATGAATAAAGAAAAGGCATTTAATTCATACAAAATAGCTGCAACAGAAGGAAATGTTAATGCACAAAAAAATCTTGCAGTTTTATATGAGAGAGGTGAAGGAACTGATAAAAATATAGAAAATGCTATTTATTGGTACAAGAAGGTGATAGAAAATGGATGTTTAGATGTTCAAGAGAATTTGAATGTTCTTTTAACTCAATAAAAATATTTATTTTTATAGAAGATTTATTGTTCCGTATATGATTATTTACTAAAATTCTGCATATTAATATTTAAATGGCTATGATATAAATTATTTATTTATTCAACTTATTTGATATTTATCTTAAGCATAGTGAATTAATAGTTTTTATTTATTATACCTTTTTTAAATGCATACGATAATTTTTACTATATGATCTTAAGTTTGCATAACATACTATGGTGCCGGAAGTCTATACTCAACAATCACGTGATTTTGTTTCAATTTTCTGAGCCAATTATATATCATGTGATCTGGAATTCAGCCAATAAAACACCAGGATTTCTTGTGTAAAGTATTAATAAAATGTGGTTTTTGAAAATTTTTTATTACAAACAAGATAAAACATAAGAAAAAGTAGATTTCAGCAATAAATCGCAACTACCATTTCATAAAAGTTATACATTTGATAAAAAATTTAAAAATTACATTTGATTAAATATTTAAAAAAAATTTTTTTATAATAACTCACATTATAAAGCGAATAGTAAAAAAAAGTCGTGTAGATCAAGCTCTATAATCAATCGGACCCAAGTAATTTTAAGCGAATCACTGGACCGCAAGGTCCGATGATCCGGACCCAAATTCACATGACTGTGCTAAAAGTTGACATGACTGGACTCAGGAAGATCATTGGACTGGACACCGTAAGGCATAACCTGTGAGATGATACTCATTTAAAATCTTGCTTGTAAAGAGAAATTTCCAGGGCACGTTTATCTGAACAATAAAGTAGAGAAGGTACTTTGGTTAGATGGTATAAGTTGCGAATTTTTAACTTATTATCATAATTAAAAGTTTTAGAATTATTAAGCAAACGGAAATTGATTAGATACGTTGATTAAGGTCATGTACTCGTGAAATTTATAATTTCAAATCACGACAAACGTTCGAAGAAAGATAAAAATAAAAAAGGATTCCTCACAATTATGGACTGTATGTCTAAATTTGAAGAAATACTAGGTTTTATTACATTTGTATTTTAACTAACAACAACTTTTAATTACTATAATTTATGAAATTTTGTTACATATTAAAAAAATCGGAAGGAAAATTTTTTGTAAAAAAAAAAAAAAAAATTTTTTTTTGTGAGAAGTTTTTTACTAAAAAAAATACAAAACTGGTTTTTTAGAAACAAAAATATTTCACTCGTTCATTTATGTCATTCTCAGACAATGTATAATATCTATAATATTTAATAAAATAGTACTTAAATCTCAAGATTGAAAAATTCATCGGTTTAAAGCTCCTTTTATTTAGATGATACATTGGCGACGTAAATTGTTGCATAATATTAATGAAATAAAATAAAATGAGTTAAAAGATTGAACAGCCAATAACTAATTTTTTTCTTAATTTTAAATATTACATACAGTAATTTTTGTTTATAAAGAAGTTACTGTATATCGAAAATATAATTCAAAATTTTTAGAATTACATATAGTCACTAATATGCAACTATTGCGTAATGCGTTGTAGTTAATTAAACTTGATTCAAATGTTAGTTAAATCAATCTACATTCATTTTTTTTTTTTTTTTTTTTTTTTTTTTTTATGGATTGACGTTCAATAGTATAATGAAATCTCACGCAAGATGTGATCGGTTTATTGTATATCCGATATGTTTATGGATTGACAATGCGCATAACTTTTAGTCCAATTTGACTTATTTAATTTAATTAGTACTACATTGCGACATTTTTTTCTTACATCATTTCAAACTTGTTGCTAGTATGCCAAGTGTAAACAATGTCTTCAAAATTTTTGGCAGAGTTATCAAGTGATTATGAAAAACTTTTTGAAGCAGAATTAGGATATGATGTTATCATTTACGCTGGGGAAGAGTCAAACGTTAAAGAAATCCATGCTCATTCAAATATTTTATGTATCAGGTCTCAATATTTTCGTACTGCATTTTCTAATGAATGGGCAGAAAAAAAAGATGGAAATTTTATTTTAATGAAACCAAATATTTCGCCTCACTTATTTAATATAATTCTCAGGTAATTTATCACACTAACAATGAAAATTTTTTCTTTGATATTTATTTAATACTAATTTAATTATCTTTAACGTCAGATTTATATATTGTGGAAATATTGAATTGAAGAATTTACAAGGACCTGAAGTATTGAAACTCTTGATAGCAGTTGATGAACTTAATATTCAACAATTAATTTCTTACATTCAAGAATATTTGATTGATCATCAAACTGAATTTTTGCATCAAAATCCAAGTGGTATTCTTGAAACTATTTATCAGCATGAATCATTTACGGATTTACGGAATTTTTGTCTTGAAAAAATTTGTGAAGAACCTGAAATTATATTTAATTCAGATAATTTTATTGACTTAAAGGCTCCTTTATTGGAGATATTATTAAGACGAGATGACTTAAATATGGATGAAATTAAAATTTGGGAAGATGGTGTTTTGCGCAGCAAAATATGATAAATGATCCAACAAAATGGAATAACGAAAATATTATAAAGATTGAAAGGTCATTACATAGTTTTATTCCTCTAATTAGATTTTATGATATTAAACCGACGGATTTCTTTTACAAAGTTTATTGTTATAAAGAAATATAGCCTCAGGATTTAATTCATAATCTTTTGGAATTTCACATAGTTCCTAATATGAAACCAAAAATTAATGTAGCACCTTCAAGAAAGCCAAATTTAAAATTTATACTTGATTCATCCTTAATTGAATCAAATCGTGTTCCTTTATTTGCTTCATGGATCGATAGAAAAGATTCCTCCTATAACAAAAATGATATTCCTTATGAATTTAAATTATTATATCGTTCAGATCGTGATGGATTTAATAGTAAATCTTTTCATATAAATTGTGACAATAAAGGAGCTACTATTTGGATAGCAAAGATTAAAGGTACAACACAATTAGTTGGAGGATATAATCCACTTGATTGGGGTGGGGATTCTGGTTGGAAAAGAACTACAGACAGTTTTCTATTTTATATTACAGATGCAAAAGATATTTCCACTGCAAAACTAAGCTATGTTAATAATGCAGATTATGCTATAAGTTGCCTTGACAATCGAGGACCAAAGATGGGTAATTTCCGTTGTGATGGCACCAACGATTGGAAATTTTGTTTTACTAATGATGTTAATGTTAAGTTGGCTTACCCTAAAATAGGTATTCCAGAAAGTTTCATGGTAGAGAGTTATGAGGTATTTCAAGTAGTTAAAAAATAGTTAATAGACATTTTTGGGAAATCTTTTACGATATTTATTAAAAGAATAAAATATCAACATAATATATGTTTATGGAATTTACGTATTTAATATTCTGTTATTCTATATCAAGCAAAATTATGCTATTATAATATAGCATTTAATTTCTAAAAAATTTATGACTTATCTAATTATCTTAAGATAAGAATTTTTATTACTATTAAGAAGTCAGGAAGGCCACCTTCCAGATAAAATTCACCTAGTAATTTTAAATCAAACAATAATAAAATCTTTTATTATTAAATTCCTTAAATATAGTAGTATAATCCTTTTTAATTGAATTATTTTTAATTAACATGCATGTAATAGTATTGTTCACCTTAATTATTTCCATAATAGTTTTTAAATCTTACATTACAACTTAAAGTTCATTTCATAAATCAGTTGATATGAACCAATTACAACTAAATTTGAAAATTTTGATCATAACAATTGGAAATCAGTATTATCCTAATGCACCACCTGAACTCATCACCCGATTAAAATTTCAACCTAAATTTTGAAAGCCAAGTAATCACAATTAGATTAGCATTTATATGTGCCATTCAAATTCACCATTCAATTTGAAGTTGACCCAAAAATGACAATTTGAGTGCTAATAATCAATAATTAGCATAATTGTCAATTGGCATAACAATGATGGGCCATCCGAACTTGTCATCCAGTTCTAATTAGTCCGGAGCGAAGCGAAACTATATACTACGCATATCGGTTCACAAATGTCCCGTTATTCCGCTCAACTAATGAGTAGATACATTTTGAGTTTTAATATTATATAATTGATATGTCACCACGTGAATAGATTTTCGCTCTGGACTTAACAACGGTAATCAACGTATCATCTGGGAAAAGAAAAAGAAATAAAAAAAATTTTACCTTCTCATTTAATTTATTAGTAGTTAATAATTAATAACAATAAATAAAAATAAAAAAAATATCAATTTGTCCGTAGCATCTTATTTCATTTGATCAAGCCTAAAACTATTATTTCAAAAAAAAAAATAATTTATTAATAATTAATATTTTATTTTAATATTGAATAATAATAGTAAAAAGAAAATCAATTATTTCACATGGTCGTGTAATTGACTAGTAATAATTCTAATACATATTAGTATATTTATATAATTATTATTGAACGAATTTGGTTTAAGGGGGGGGGCTTAAAAAAAAACCAGTATTCACGTAATGCATATAAAATGGATGTAGTGCAAGATCGGGCTCAGTTTATTTTTTTATTTTTTTTTTTAAAGAATAAAATCATGTTACCTGTCTAGTATTCATATTCGATATACCGATATATCATTAAAAACTTGATATAATGATAAATTTTTACTTTCCTACCGCTATACAATGACGGATATACGTAACTATATTTTGAGTTTTACTGCGTTTATTGCAAAAAAAGATGCAGCTAAAACTTGATCTATCACGTGCATTAACTCTTGAACTCCTTACATGCATACTAAATATAGATAGAAGGATCAAGATTATCAACCTAACTTGACTTCCTTATATGTACGTGTATGTATGATTCGGGTTAGAATGATTACTCGAGTAATCCATCATGAGTAAAGTTATCTAGAAAGGCTAATATGATATTCAAATAATTTAAGGGGGATAATCCTAGATAAAAGTGGATTGTTTCTGACCATCTTTCTTTTTACTTTGCGTTGCGTACTACAATATTATTACACTTTCTATAATCTTTGAAAAAAATGTTTATTTTTATCAGCGCACCAAACGACAAAAGTGAAAAAATCAAAATAACGTGTTCACCCACGGACGATATAAAAGAACTCCGTGATATAATTTCTAAAGAGTTCGGTTGTAAAGAATATCCACCTGAAAGGCAACGCCTTTTATTTGGAGGTAAACAGGTAAATAGGACGCGTAATTACGCGTTTTTTAAAAAAAACTGTCAAGTATTTGTAATTTTAATGTATCTTAACTCTTTTTCAGACACTAACATAATTTTTTTTATAAAAATATTTATTAAAATGTTCAGCTGGAAAATGGACACACTCTCTTTCATTATAATATTAAGCACAATAGCGTAGTCCTACTCATTAGAAAACAAAAAATTGAAACCTCTAGTGAAACCGAATCTGCAGTTTTATCTGTGGATATCCCTGTGAAAGCTGAGAAAAAAGTTAATTCACAAGTGTCAGAACACGAGATTTCGAACCACCCTATCGAAACTAAATCAACATCTGTCATGGATGATCTGAATAATTTTGAACAAGAAGAGGAATATTTTTGTACTTTATGTGAAAATAAAAAAAAAAAGTGTAAGCATTGTGGGTGCAATATTTGTGGCGGAAAGGATGACGATGAACACACAATAGTGTGTGACGAGTGCCAATATTATTTTCATTTCTATTGCTTATCCCCACAAATCACTGAGCTACCAAACGAGGAGTGGTATTGTCAAGATTGTAAGCATAAAAATGTTGGTGTAGTGTTAGCTGGCCAAAGTTTAGATCTCGAAAATTCGAAAAAATCAAAGATGCCGTCAGCTACACAAAAAAAGAAATGGGGAGGAGGAATGGCTTGCGTAGGACTATCCAAGAAATGTGAGATAGTAGAACCTGATTACTTTGGACCAATTCCTGGTGTTCCAGTTGGTTCATTATGGAAATATAGAATATTTTGCTCTGAATCAGGAGTCCATCGTCCACCTGTTGCTGGTATCGCTGGAAAAGCTAGCATTGGCTCTGTATCTATTGTACTCAGCGGTGGATACCCTGAAGACAAGGATAATGGCGATGAATTTTAATATACTGGTTCCGGTGGTCGAGAACTTAAAACTGGAAATAAACGAGTTGCAGTACAGTCATTCGATCAAGAGTTGACTAAAACAAATGAAGCTCTTGCTAGGACTTGTGATGCTGAAGTTAACGCTAAAAAAGGAGCCGAAGCGCGGAATTGGAAAAACAGTATGCCAGTAAGAGTATGTCGATCCTCGAAATTAATGAAGCATAATCCAAAATACGCACCAGAGGAAGGAATTAGATATGATGGAATATATAAGTTAGTAAAGTATTGGCCAGAAAGAGGTGCGTCAGGATTCAAGGTTTGGAGATATCTTATGCGCCGGGACGATCCAGAACCAGCTCCATGGACTTCGGAGGGAAAGAAACGAATTAAGGAACTTGGAATAAAAATGATCGTTGGAGATGATGAAGAAGTTTCCAAGAAACGTACACTTGATTCAGATGATGATAAAGGTGTAAAATCCAAAAAAGCTAAAAAAGACAACAAATACAAAATTTCGGCCAACCTTAAAAAGTTTATTGAAGAAGATAAAGATAATCAACGAGCCTGGACTACAGTTCTTGAATCAAAATTTGAAAAACACACGGAATTAATCGAAATTATAAGCGAACGGGAATTCAAGTGTCCCGTTTGCTTTGGATTAGTTGTGCAACCTATCACTACAAATTGTACTCATAATGTTTGCCTGGAATGTCTTACTCGAAGTATATCAATTATGGGTCACAAATGTCCTGAATGTAGAACCGAATTTCCAACGAATTTCAGATTGAAACCGAATCAAAAACTTATCAAAGCGTTACATGAGGTGATCCCTACTTATGACTTGTAAAATCATATTAAATTTCAATTTTTTTGGTTTTTGTAATAGTCCATTTATAATGAATTATTTGGGATTTAAGACAATTTGTTAATTATAATTTAATGGGATTTATAGTAAATTGCAATAAATTGATTTTACAAACATTTATACATTTGATAAATGGTTGCTTTGTTATTTGAATGTTTTAGTTAAAAAATGAATAAATTCATCCGAATGCCTATTTTTGTTTTGACTTATCTGTTTAAACAGGGTAACATGAAAGATCCTTAGTAATGTTGTGGAGAACAGAACGAAAATTGCAGATACTAGTGATGAAAGTGATGTTGTAAATTGACGAGTCATGTGATGCCGATCAACAATGAATCATATGCGCAGATTTTTAAAAAGATATATTAATTTCTCAGGTATAGGTGCGTCAATTTTATAAGTATTTCATAAAGTTAAATGAGGTACGTTAAATCGGCTAGTCCAAAAATGCGCGGATATGTGCTGTACACATTGGTTTATATAATTGGTTTAATTCCCCAAATAATAATGAATGTACTTATGGTAATTTTGATTTTCATTAATTGGTTCATGACAAAGTTTTTGCAAAAATATGTCACTTTTGCCTAACTTAAAAATATCACGCATTACTTGTTTATATGAATAATTGAATCGATCTTGACGTATAAAGTGTATTATAATGACAAGGAAATTGTTGATGGATATAATCCAATAATATGGCTATCTTCTGATAAACCAAAGGTAGATTTTAAAAAAAAGAATATTTTATTGGATATAGTTGCCCGTTGGGAATGATTAATGTCAATATACCGTAAGTCGTCCTGGTATAGAAATTTTTGATCCAAACCTTTTAATATGCAGTACCACCTTTTTTCAGTATCGAACACGTATGAAATGTATTAATCTAGTATTTACATATAAATATTTTTAAAAATAAATAGAATTGAAGAATTAAATGAATTAAACAATTTAATGAACGATCTGACCGAAAAAAATGAACGTAAATTTCCTTTTTTAAAGAAAGGCATTTTTTTTTTCAAATAAATCATGAATAATTTATTATAATAAAAGTTTTTATGTGCGATTTAATTTTTTATCTCTTAAAAATCGATTAGCCATTATTAACCCGATCGATTAAAATTTTTATTCTAAAAAAAAAAAAATTCTAAAAAATTTTTATTAAAATTTATTTATTAAATTAATTTTAATTCTACAACAAAAAAATTATTTATTAACAGAAATTAAATAAAAATAGATTCTATCTAATATTGAATTATTATATTCGCTTCATAAAATTCACAACGTTAATTTCATCCATCTTGAAGCTACTAATTAAATAAATTAACTGTTAAAATTACTGCGACGTTTAGCAATTCCCAATTATATTGACAATAATGTAGTTATTTATATTAAAGATTTGTCGTTTAAGTGTAAAATGAAATTCGTATTAATTAAGGAATTGTGAAAAAATAAGTATTTTCGAAAAAACTTTAATATTGTGAAAATACTACAAATATTTTTATTAATTAATTATTATTTCTTATTATTTTATAAAAAAAAAAAAAACAAAAGTATTTTTATTAAAAAAATAATAACGTTTATCAAATAAAAAAGTATTATAAAAAAAATCAAATAACAAAAAAAAAGTCAACGGGAAAAAATATTTATATAAAAAAATTACGTAAAAAAAAATGGGTTTAGTCTATAAAAAAAAATACCCTCTTAGGATCGATGATCTAACCAAAAAGAATATAATTCTCTATTAATTATATAATCAAAAATTAATCATGTATTTTTTTAGTTATAAAGATTCTAACTTTAATATTATCGTCAAATTGAAAAATTATCATAATTTCTTTGGCATTAAAATTTGACCGGAGTTAATACATTACGCAAAATTTAAATCTCAACCGCTCCAATTTATTGTTAATAAAAATTTTTTTTAATACTTATTATTTAAGTGTAATTTTATTATAAAAAAACAAAACATTAATTATATACAATTCTACTTTAAATTCTAGTGTTTTTGCCCAATAGGAATCTCATCATATAAAAACTATATACATATAATTAAGAGAATATTTGCGACAAAATAATAATCTTTCGTCAATGTTAAAAATTAGAAATTTGTTAAATATAAATTATAATTAGCAAAAACATAATGTTTGAATATAAAAATATAAAAATAATGTTTCTATTGTCAAATTATATTGCAAATCGGGATTACTTCTCGTAGTATACATGATTATTGAGATTTCCAGTGATTGAGATTATTTCCATTCTTGATTATGAATTAGATTATTGGGTCATGTCGCGTTATTAGGTAATGTCACATTATTTGGTAAGGTCGCATTATTTTGTTCTTTTTTGTTTTTATACCACTTGTATAAAAGGAAAATTCCGACTATTAATAAAATGGCATCAATTATAGCTCCAATAATTATACTAGTTATGACATCTGTATAATTTGTTTTTGTGTTTAATTGTGAATTAGGTTGTTGTATATCATTTGTTTTTGATGGAGACGAAGATGTAGATGTAGGTTGATTGGACTGTATATTATTATTAGGCGTAAAAGATGATGTCCAAATATATTCGTTATTATTACTAATATCAAGCAATAGCAAATCATCCTCACTTTCATTATTATAACCTTCACCTTTTAATACATAATTATAAATAAGTATTTCTATTATATTAAATTAAAAATTTATAAATAAATATTAATAATTATATTTACCAAAAATTATACTCATGTATTTTCCAATTAATACTGCTTTATGAGAAGTACGACTTGATGGAATCTTTCCAGTAACTTTTGGAATATACCAATTAAAATTATTTATGTCTAATACATAAAGTGGATTTTTCGCGATGGTTTTATTGTCTTCTTGTCCTCCATAAATAATCACACTTTGTTTATCTAGTCCTATTAATCATGAAATTAAATTAACTTTCTTTTGAATGGCTAAAAATGTTATAATATTGTTTCATTAAAGTATTAAATATTTACCAAGAATACTTGAAAATGAATATCTTGCTGAAGGTATTGATCCACTAGTTTGCTAAAATATTTAAAAAGTTTTAATTTTATAATAAAATTTATTAATAATCAAGTCTACATCAAAAAGTGTTCGTTACCTTTATAATCCAAAAATCATTCATTGTGTCGTACAAATAAACCTTTATATATAAAGTAATATACATATTATTTATGATGATCGATTGATAGATTTTTTATATATATATATTTACCTGATCTAGTGGAATCGATCCATTATTATAACCACCTAATTATAATAGTAATATTATCAATTTATAAAATTTCATAATTTGATTTAAAATTTAAAATACTATTACATACCCATATAAATAATAAACTTATTTGGTAATAATACAGCACCGTATTGTGATCTTGGAAATGGTGAATTAGTTGAATTGGCTTTTTTCCAAGATAAATTATTTGAATTTATTATAAACATATCGTTAACATTATACGTAAAAGGGTATCCGCCAAATAAATATATGGTTGATTCATCAAATATAGAAGTTATTCCTTGTTTTCCTGGTACACCATTTATTTCTTGAATTTTCCATAAGTTACTTTGTGTATCAAATTTATAAGATGAGGCCATCGTTTCATAACTATTTAAACTAACACCACCAAATAGGAACATCGTGTTATCAACTGCCAAGGTTGTAGCAAGATGATGTGACGGAACGATGCTATCTTTTGAAGATAAGTTATGCCATGTTACTTTGTTGGTATTAAAAGGAACTGAGAAATCAATATATAGAAATGCTTCTTTTGGTGATGAATTGTTGCCGTTAATAGTTCCACCTAAAATATATAATTTTTTGTGAATAAGTGTAGAAGTATGACCATAACGTAGATCTGGCTTGATAAATATTTGAGATTTTACTTCATTTAATAATAATTGAAGAAAAATACAAAATATGATATAAATTGTAAAATTTTTTAATAAAATCATTTCTTTTTGAATCTATTTTTTTTTTTTTTTTTTTCTAAACATAAAGTTGAAGAACTTATTATGAGTCCGAGAACCGATTATATATACCGATTATATTTAGTTTGTTTGTTTTTTTTCTTATTTAATTTTCTTATTTAAGAAACAAATTCGATTATTATCATTTCTTAATAAGGTTTCTACTTTCATATGAAACCGTACTACCTGAACTAGTACCACTGCAGTACTTTCAGTACTTTAGAATTTCTAGAATGCCGATCATCCGGCATACCGATGTAACACAATTCATATCTTGATAGGCGAGATCGGGCGTATGACTTGGCGTAAAATCTTACACGAATAAAATTACGATAAACTCAGAATAACTTACATTAAGAATAACCTTATATATTCTGATTAAGAGAACAAGAGGAAGTTTGTCTTAATTTTTTAGTTTTGGGATTTTTAGTATTTTGTAGATCGCCGGTTGAGGCAGCGAATATTGCTAATTTTTCATTTATGACATTTTTGTTATGATTTATGCATTTATTATCACACATTTATTTTGTTGTTTATTTAAATAAAGTTTACAGTACACCTTAAATTAGATTATACATTTTTATTTGAACGCTATTATTTCTTTTACTTTCACGTGACTTCGCCGGAAAGCGGCGGTAACACCCTTCTTGAAATGAACAAAGCCGATTGTTTACCAACAAATTGTATTGGAAGTACCTACTGCATTATTTTAGAAAGCGGTGGTAACACACTTGTTGAAATGAACAAAGCCGATTTACCAACAAATTATATGGAAGTACCTACTGCATTATTATAGAAAGCGGTGGTAACACACTTGTTGAAATGAACAAAGCCGATTTACCAACAAATTATATGGAAAGTACCTTTGGCTAGTCATTGTTTATATTATAGTTGCCAAAATTTTAATAGTTGTATATTTATAAAGAATTCTGCTATCGAGACAAACTAAGTAATATAATATATCCTTTAAAAAGAACGTTCATTGTGGCAACAAAAAATGTTCCTAATCAGGGTTTTAGAATGAATAATGAATATGCAGTACTATGTTTATCCACAAAAATTTATGCTATATCACATGATAAAATGATAATTATTACTGGCAAAACTTGAGTAAATATAATTTAAAAAAATTTTGTCATATTTTATAAATAATTTGAATTGTGTAACATTGAAAGTGTGAAATTCTTGCGTCCGATCTATTTCGTATTTATCATTCCATGATTGACCTTCCAAACCACGACAGGATTTTTTTTTAGTGAGAATTTTTTTGATTTAGTGAGGACTTTTTTTGTTTATTGAGATTGTTTTTTCAATATTATTTCCCAACTAATAAATTGCGTGAAATTTTTTTTGATATTAACAAATTTTTTTTAGTGAGATTGTTTTTTTGATAAATCTATATAACTAATAAAATTTGTCTGACGTTTTGGTCGAATTGGTCGTTGGGCATAAATAGTAATTTTGAATTGTGCAACTTGAAATCCCACGCCATATAATCAAAACTCGTGATATGCCTCCCTGATCTATTTATGGTCAACTAATCCAATTTCAGTTAGGTTCCTTTTTTTTAAAATTTTTCTTTTTTTCTCCATTTAGGTTTGATTTTTTCCTAAACTGAAATTTTTTTTTTTTTATTTTTATATTATTTTTTTTTTCGATCTTTTTTTAGACAGTATTGTTATTTTTTTTTTCTTTTTGGACCGAATTATTTGTCCTTTTTTTTCAGAATTTTTTTCAGTATTTATTTATTTATTTATTTATTTATTTATTTATTTTTTTTTTTTTGGATTCCTTTTTTTTGTAAATTTCCTTTTTTTAAATCGATTTCTTTCTTTATCCTTTTTCTTTCCCCAAATTATTTTTTTAATTTTTTTTCAATTTTTTATTATTATTAAATTAAGAAATAAAATATTATATTAAATATATTTACAAAATTATTGTTTTTTTAAAAAAATCAAATTGACCGACGTTGATAAAAAAATGATTAAGATTTTTTCAATTAAAATTGAACGCTGGATAAATAGTTTGCTTTTCAAATTCATAAAAATAAAAAAAAAACTTGATATTTTTACAATTAATTAATTGAAAAAATTGTTAATTTAATAATAGATTATTATAACCAAATCTTTATTCAAAATTCTCTAAATAATCACCAGGTTTTTGAATAAAGATTTTAATTTCAAATGATTTAATTAATTAATAACTTATCGAGTAAAATGAGTATCAAAAGAATAATAATAATAAGTGAAATGAACAGATTCTAGTGGGTTAGTTATGGGAATGGTTTTAAAATATAGTTGGTTATGTTTTAAATAGTTTCGTTCTTAACTACTCCACCGTCGAAGTAGATTTTAGTTTAGTTCATTTTTTTATTTACTTCTACAATTTTGTTTTGTTTATAAATTCTTGTATATGCTAACTATTACTGTTTAATAAAAATAAAAAATAAAAATTACATCATAAATTACACTATTATACTAATTAATAGTAATCTTTTTTTTATAAATATTTTATTATTTTATGATCAAGTTGTGGGGATATGTTAAAATAAGTATAATTTAATGACCACATAAAGTATTAATCCGTAACAGGCATTAAATTTGACTCTCTCAATAGATTATCCATGTGAATGATTTTATCATTTGATTAATCTTTAAGAACAAATAATTTTAGATATATTATTGTTTGTTTTCTCAAATATTATAATACAGCAAAGTTTATAATAGCAAAAAGATTAAGCATTACATTAATCGAGATGCATACCTTGTGATAAATAAAAAGCAATCAATAAATTTACAGTATAATTATCATTATGCCAATAAAGTAGCCAACGAACTGCTATAATAACTTTTGAGCTTAATGTTGAAAAATTCATGCTGTATTTACAGTCTTACACTTTTAATAATATTATTATTATTTGGGTAGGTATATCACTAGCCACTAGCTATAATTAATAAAATCATTTAACCAATTCTGGTTAGAGTTTTCTGATGCTCAAAACTCAAAGCGTTTTAATTACAACTAAAAATCATAAACGGGTGAGGCAATTGCTGCTATAGTAACTTTACATTAGTGATAGTTTATATTGTACAGTATATCGTGTAATTGCAAGAATACACAAACAAAAATCTCCAAATAATAATGTACTGGCTGAGGAACAAATTGATACATTTATGTAACAAAAAATAAATATATGAATAAATATTTTTACAGTAATATATATTGTTCATTCATTAGAAAATTCAAAAATTTAATATATAAAATATTTGAATTTCTTTAACAAATGACACGCAGTGATTCGTATGGAACCCAATTTATAGTGCTATCTAATCCAAGTAGGTTTAAACAGTAAACATATTAAAGCAAAAAATATATTCAGTTTTATATAATACATAGTAAGAAAACTGTGAATCATTTTAAACAATGATCGTAAGAATAAATGAATGACTTATACAGCTAACATAACCAGGGATATGACCTATACTTTATTATCATATTATACATACTACAATGCTCATACACATTCATACGCAAAATTTACATTTACTTTTTACATAAAGATGAACATGAAAAAGTTATGATTTTTTTCAAAAAAAAAGCTAATTCAATAGGAATGTAATCTATCATATATCTATAATTAAAAAGAGAAAAAAGAAAACAACAAAATAAAAAATAAAAAAAGAAAACCAAAATATAAAAGAAAAACTCCATAATTGAAAAGTTCTATTTGTCTATGAGAAATCTATATCTCAGTTCACATCCTCAACTGGCCTTCAGGACTAACTGATCGTACTCTCCTTCTACGCCTCCATGCATACACTTACCTCTAATAACTTTATAATAGAAGGAGGATTACCCTGATTAATAGCCATAATTATGCATGCCCTATAAAATTTACAAAATTTTTAGTCACTATCACCTCATACCATATGAGGTTTACCACCCTGTTAATTATGCCTAAGCAGGGAACCCCAGGACACCCATGTGGCCATCATAGGATCTATGGTAAATGGACTCATATAGTATTAAATAACAATAACTAAGTATGTGACATGGCATAGGAGATATGTGTCATTTCCAACGGGAACCTGGCCTTCCCTCCCATATGGATCAGCTTGGGGATCACCTATATGGCATCATTGTAGCTATTACTTCGTGCACAGAAGCAGATAGCTACTAGCCTGTAGCAAATGGTACGTACTACGAGCACATAAACCCCTATGTCAATCATAATAGTTCACCATCCGGAAGACTTTCAGTGAACCCTGCAGTGCACACCTACTCATACGTCCATCCGGCGAACTGTTATAATTTATACGTACCACTTAATGATGTGACCTAGCCTCGGATAATAGCCCTAGCCTGTCCTTTATTGTAAGCATCATCTTGATGGTCCATTTCATTGATTTCAGTTAATCTGTCTAAAAGAAAATTGTGAAGGTAATAATACTTTGATAAACGCGTAAAAAAAGGTCCACAAAAGCAGAGACTATACTGATAGGATGGTTTGTAATATGGTCTTTACCTATAAAACAAGTATCCAAGAGAAACTCGTTACCTATATATTGTCTGAACTCTGAAGACAGTCCCGCACAATAAACATTACATGGTTTTGTATTTTTATTTACGTCATTTTTTTTTGCTTGTTGTATGTTGCTTCTAACCTTGGACTGGACACCTAGACGGTATACCTAGATAGTGACACCTAGATAGGGACTTATTACGTGAAAAAAAAGTCAAAGGTGGGTTACCTTTCTCCCGAAGGATAGAGGAATGAGAGATGTGTGATTAAAAAAAAAGAAAAAGGGCCGTATAAATAAATATATATATATTTTTTTGTTGTACAAGCTTTTCATTAGATGATATCAATGACTTTTGCGGATGTTTAATCATGATTAAGTAATACATAATCAATTAAAAAGCCACGAAAAAAAATAATATACGCGTAAAATGCAGACGCGTTGTACGCGTTGCAAATAAAAGAGATTTATAATGACACTTTAATAATAGGAGATAGACATAAACTAACACAAGCCACCGATTTTATTGATATGCAGTATATTACATCATTACATCAATTTATCGTATAGTTGCGCCACTACATCGGGTTTCATCCTAAACTAATATAATATTAGAAATGATGATTCGTTGCTTTAGTGACTTATGTAAGGGAGTAGTTGAAACTTATGAAAACAAGCAAACACACAATTTTTTGAGAAATAGTATTTTAATGATGTGAATAGGTTGGTGACGTGACTATGGACTACCGTGTGACAGAGCCATGAACCGCTCAGGTAACGTGACGATTAGCGTAAATTTCATGAAATTTTAGGGACGAGACCCTATAAAAAAATTGAATACGTTTTTTATAAAGTTTTTATACGATTTTTTTTCCTTAGAAATAACGTATCATAATAGGATACGGAAAAATGCACAATTCCGTATCACTAAAAATATGGTTTGGATACGGAATTTGCACGGGATTTATATGGAATTTACATGATTTGATCATTGATTTTATCACGAAATTTATACGATTTGGTCACTGAATTTACTATTTGTATTACAGTTTACTATAATTGTATTTACATAAATCTAATTTTACTTTATTAAATTAAATAAAAAATAAAAAATAACAAAGTACAAATACATTAGGCCATACAAACTTGATTTTATGGTTTTCATAATATAAAAATTTCATCAATAACCCGGCAACCCGGCTTTTAATTTTTTTTTTCAAAAATTTTATATGCGAAATTTTTTTTCAATTTTTAAAAAATTCTCACCCGGCATAGTAATAATATAAAAAAACTTTTTTTAAGACTTAACAAAACTGACCCGGCCGGATTATGAAAACCATTTTTACCACTTTGTGTCGCCTTATGAAAATTCCCTCCTTATTAAAACCACCTATTGCAACCAAAATTATCTATAAGTTCAGGTTCATTTGGAGTCAAATAACCTAAAAGAACAAAAAAAAAGATTGAAAACAAAACCCATATAGTATCTGCAATCGTCCAAGTCACCAAAGGTCAGCATTCCTAAAAAAAAAGAAAGAGAACTCCAGAATGTCTGACCTACATAAAAGAAAAGAATTATGAGGCGTCTATTGAAAAAAGAAACCAAAACAACAAAATAAATCCAAAACTGACCTACAAAAAAAGAAGACTCTGAAGCAACAAAACTGAAACAACCTACAAAAAGAAAAGAATCTGAACCCAACTTACAAAAAAACAAGAAAATTTGAACTGACCTAAAAAAAGAAAAAAATCCTGAATCATCCTACAAAAAAAAGGACTCCCAAACTGATCTACAAAAAAGAAAAAAGAAACTGAATATTCTCACAAAAAAAAATCTGCTGGCCTATGAAATTAAATATAAATAAAAAAGAAAGGGGAATAAAGAATAAACCAAAAAAAATATTTTTTTAAAAAGAGGGGTAACGAAGTTAGGAAAGTTAAAAAAAAATTTTTTTTTAAAGGGAGGACGTCAAAGTTAGAAAAATAAAAAATTTTTTATAAAGAGGAAATAGAAATAGAAAGAAGAATTTTTTTTTAAAAAAAAAAGAGTGGGAATAAAAGAAAAAATTTTTTTTTAAGAGTGACGAAAAAAAAATTTTTTTAAAGTGAGGTACGAAAAAAAAAAATTATTTTTAGAGAGTGACGAAGAAAGAAAAATTTAGAAAAAATAACAAAAATAAGACAAAGAGAAAGAGAAAGGAAAGGAAAGACAGAAAGGAAGATCGGAAGATCAAACTCATCAAAGTAAGGGTTTATATAAAAACAAAAAACGTATCATAACAAAACAATAAACAATCATGTGATCTCGTGTTATGATACGGATTTTTGTAAAATTTATCTTCTAAAAATATTAAGTTTATAAATTCCGTATACATTCCGTATGATTAATTTTTTCCGTATACATTTCTTATACATTAGTTTTTTTAAAAAATGTTCAAAAATGAATTGCTTATTAAATATACGGAATTTAAATTGTATATGGAATCTATAGAAACGTACAAAAAATGTATACAAAACGTATCCTTTCCATATACATATTTCTTATAGGGTGCTTGTTATAATATATTTATTCATTTGATAAAATAATTTTCTACATTTGCCGTCAATGATCATCATCTGTATCATGTGAATATTATTTTAATTATTGTTTATTGTAAAAAAAAAAACTTACTCCCTTTTTTTTAAAAAAAAAAAAAATTAAAAGCTTTGTTATTACAAACTAGCTCATATTAAACACTTTTAACTCACTTTTATTATCTGTGTATTGTAAAGTTACAGCCTTACAGGTATTTTTGTACAGTTTTAATATAGTACATGAGTTTCTAAATTTTTTATTACTTTCACATATTTGTTTTTTAACTTCAGGTTATAATTTCATCACTTTAGCCAAATGAAATCAACTTTATTTCAGCAGGGTTGAAACTATTTGAATATTAATTTTCATGAATGTGGTGTAGTACTTGGAAAAAATTACATTTTTCTTGATGATATTAACTCTCTTCTCTGTTTTTTAATTTAGAGCGTAATATCTCCACTTTGGTCAAATGAAATCAACTTTCTTTATTAATTGAATGTTTTTCAGTAGGATTGAAACTACTTGAATATTAATCTTCATAAATATAGGTGTAGTAATTGGAGAAAATTGCATTTTTCTTGATGATATTAACTCTCTTTTCTGTTTCCTGATTTAGAGTGTAATATCTCCACTTTGGTCAAATGAAATTAACTTTCTTAATTTATTGAATGTTATTCAGCAGGGTTGAAACTACTTGAATATTAATTTTCATGAATGTAGATGTAGTATTTGGAGAAAATTGCATTTTTCTTGATGATATTAACTCTCTTTGCTGTTTCCTGATTTAGAGCGTAATATCTCCACTTTGGTCAAATGAAATCAACTGTCTTTATTAATTGAAAATTGTTCAAGTGGGTTGAAACTACTTGAATATTAATTTTCATTTTATTTTATTTTTTTTTAGCTGTATTAACTTTGGAACACTTATTACAACTTATGTGGTTATTTTAAATGATAAAAATTAATTATTGGTTAATTATAATCACATAATACTAGGGAATTGTTTTATTTTTATATTTGATTTAATAATTTAATAAAATAAATAAAATATTATTATTTGAAATCAAATTCATATAAATACAACTAATATTAATAATTGTAATTTAAGCAGTAAATTCATTGACCAGTGTAAATTTTATGCTCAAAATATGTAAGTTTGGTGATCAAATCAATATAAAATCAGTGTAAATTATGGTCAAATCATGCAAATGATACATTTTGTGATATGGAATTGTGCATTTCCTATCCCTATATAGATTAAATACGAAAAAATTGCATAAAACCTTATTAAAACATGATTTTTTATAGGGTCCAATTATAATAAAATTTTATTATTCAGTAATGTTTAAAGCTCCCTGCTATGTTTAATGTCTACTTGTTAAAACCATAATTTAAAAATTGTTTATTTTTAAATGAATACTAAATTTCGCACAGACTACAAACCCATTAACATGTTAAAAATTTTTGACCTACGAAAATTTTAACTATTATTACTAATAAATATGTAATATATAAATCAATAATTTCAAATATTTATTAAAGCTCCACAATATGAACTGTTATAAAACAGTATTTTTCAATTACTGCCCATAAGCATGATGATCGTAAGTTTAATAAGCGTATTTGTTAAATTAACGATCAAAACATTAATTTTGCGTAAAAATCTTATGTAAGATTTACGATCTTGATCGCCAACAGTCAAATGGACTAGCATGTAGGCTGAATTTGTTAATAATCAAAAAATTTTTTAATTGAATGACATCACATTTTCTACGTGTGTTGAGGCAATTCGCATTTGGAGAGCAGAAATGGCAGAAACGAAAAAGAGCTGGAATAAAACTATTTCAAAATAAATTTTGGTACATTTGATTTATTAATGATAAACCAATAAAATTAAATCACGTGATAAAATTTATTTTATATCATACTAATAACTAAGTTTTCTTGAAAATAATTACTTCCGGCCAGTCTACGTCTATATTTAATAAAATAATTATTTTCAATAAATAGAAAAAAAAAGCAAATAGAGTAAATAAGGTAGATATTTTTGATATAATTTCTGGAATTCAATTTATATAGCGAGACTTCACATGATTTTCATGAGCTCTAATATGTTGAAATTTTCACTGTATCGAGATAATCCGATATGATATAGTACTAAAAATTTTTGCTGAAAAAAATTGGCTTCATAAACTGAAATACATTGTGTAAATAGTAAACTGGAAACTTTAAGGACGATCACATGCTGATGATGAAAATCACGACATCATAATCATGCTTTATTGCATGTGTGATGTACTACATCATTGTTCTTTAAAGTAAACGTCCACAGAAAAAAATCAAACATAATTTTTCTCAATAAAAATGTCCAAGCAGAAATGCGAGAATGTAATTGATACTGACAATGCTTTTTATCAGTATCAAAAAGAAGCAGAAAATGGAGATAAGGAAGCACAATATATATTAGGAATATGTTATGAAAAAGGAATTAGTATTGGGAAAGATGAAATTAAGGCTTTTTATTGGTATGAAAAAGCGGCGGAAAATGGAATTAAAGAATCGCAATTTAATTTAGGGAATTGTTATTTTAATGGAATTGGTATCGAAAAAGATGAAGCTAAAGCTTTTTATTGGTATCAACAAGCAGCAGGAAATGGAGTTAAAGAAGCACAGTTTAACTTAGGAAATTGTTATTTTAATGGAATTGGCATTGAAAAAAATGAAATTAAAGCTTTTTATTGGTATCGAAAAGCAGCAGAAAATGGAATTGAGGTAGCACAACTTAATTTAGGAAATTGTTATTTTAATGGAATCGGAATTGAAAAAAATAAAGCTAAAGCTTTTCATTGGTATATAAAAGCAGCAGAAAATGGAGTTAAAGAAGCACAGCTTAATTTAGGTTCATACTATGAAATAGGATTGTGTATTAAAAAGGATAAAGTTACTGCTTTCAAATGGTATCAAAAAGCAGCAGAAAATGGAATTGAAGTAGCACAACTTAAATTAGGCAATTATTATCATAATGGTATTGGTATTGAAAAAAATAAAATCAAAGCTTTTTATTGGTATCAAAAAGCAGCAGAATATGGAAATAAAGAAGCACAGCTTAATTTAGGTTCATGCTATGAAATTGGATTTGGTGTTGAAAAGGATGAAGCTAAGGCTTTCTATTGGTATCAAAAAGCAGCAGAACAAGGATTTTGTAAAGCACAAATTAATTTAGGTTTATGCTATGAAGAAGGAATTGGTATTGAAAAAGATGAAATTCAAGCTTTCTATTGGTATGAAAAAGCAGCAGCAGAAAATGGTAATAATGATATACAATTTACTTTAGGTGTATGCTATGAAAAAGGAATTGGTATTAGGAAAGATGAAGTTAAAGCTTTTTATTGGTATCAAAAAGCGGCAGAAAATGGGAATAAGGATGTTCAGCTTATTTTGGGAAATTGTTATTTTAATGGAATTGGTATTGATAAAGATGAAGTTAAAGCATTTTATTGGTATAAAACAGCAGCAGAAAATGGGGAAATAGTAGCACAATTTATTTTAGGTATATGTTATAAAAATGGAATTGGTACTAAAAAAGATGGAGTTAAAGCTTTTTATTGGTATAATGAGGCGGCAGAAAATGATGAAGTAGCAGCACAATTTACATTAGGTATATGCTATGAAAATGGAACTGGCATTAAAAAAGATGAGACTAAAGCTTTCTATTGGTATCAAAAAGCAGCAGAAAATGGAGAAATTGTGGCACAGCTTAGTTTAGGTATATTTTACCATAATGGAATTGGTATTGAGAAAGATGAAATTAAAGCTTTTTATTGGTATAAAAAAGCTGCAGAAAATAGAGAAATAGCAGCACAATTTATTTTAGGTATGTGTTATAAATATGGAATTGGTATTGAAAAGAATGAATTTGAAACCCTATTCTGGTATCAGCAAGCAGCAGAACAAGGATTTAGTGAAGCACAAATTAATTTAGGCTTATGCTATGAAATAGGTTTCGGTACTAAAAAAAATGAAGTTAAGGCTTTTTATTGGTATCAAAAAGCAGCAGAACAAGGATTTAGTAAAGCACAAATTAATTTAGGTTTATGTTATGAAAAAGGAATTGGTATTGAAAAAAATGAAATTAAAGCAGTTTATTGGTATGAAAAAGCAGCAGAAAATGAAGTAGCAGTAGCACAATTTATTTTAGGTGTATATTATGAATATGGAATTGGAATTGAAAAGAATAAAACCAAAGCTTCTTATTGGTATCTTAAGGCAGCAGAAAATGGAGATAGAAAAGCACAATATAATTTAGGAAATTACTATTATTATGACTCTAGTAAATATGAAGCATTTGATTGGTACAAAAAAGCAGCAAAGAATGGTGACAAAAGAGCACAATATAATTTAGGTATATGTTATTTTAATGGAGTTGGTATTGAAAAGAATGAAATTAAAGCTTTTTATTGGTATCAAAAAGCAGCAGAAAACGGTGTTAAAGAAGCACAATTTAATTTAGGTAAATGTTACTATGATGGAGTTGATAATGATAAAGATGAGGCTAAAGCCTTTTATTGGTATTATAAAGCAGCAGAACAAGGATTTAGTAAAGCACAAATTAATTTAGGTTTATGCTATGAAGAGGGAATTGGTATTGAAAAAGATGAAATTCAAGCTTTCTATTGGTATGAAAAAGCAGCAGCAGAAAATGGTAATAATGATATACAATTTACTTTAGGTGTATGCTATGAAAAAGGAATTGGTATTAGGAAAGATGAAGTTAAAGCTTTTTATTGGTATCAAAAAGCGGCAGAAAATGGGAATAAGGATGTTCAGCTTATTTTGGGAAATTGTTATTTTAATGGAATTGGTATTGATAAAGATGAAGTTAAAGCATTTTATTGGTATAAAACAGCAGCAGAAAATGGGGAAATAGTAGCACAATTTATTTTAGGTATATGTTATAAAAATGGAATTGGTACTAAAAAAGATGGAGTTAAAGCTTTTTATTGGTATAATGAGGCGGCAGAAAATGATGAAGTAGCAGCACAATTTACATTAGGTATATGCTATGAAAATGGAACTGGCATTAAAAAAGATGAGACTAAAGCTTTCTATTGGTATCAAAAAGCAGCAGAAAATGGAGAAATTGTGGCACAGCTTAGTTTAGGTATATTTTACCATAATGGAATTGGTATTGAGAAAGATGAAATTAAAGCTTTTTATTGGTATAAAAAAGCTGCAGAAAATAGAGAAATAGCAGCACAATTTATTTTAGGTATGTGTTATAAATATGGAATTGGTATTGAAAAGAATGAATTTGAAACCCTATTCTGGTATCAGCAAGCAGCAGAACAAGGATTTAGTGAAGCACAAATTAATTTAGGCTTATGCTATGAAATAGGTTTCGGTACTAAAAAAAATGAAGTTAAGGCTTTTTATTGGTATCAAAAAGCAGCAGAACAAGGATTTAGTAAAGCACAAATTAATTTAGGTTTATGTTATGAAAAAGGAATTGGTATTGAAAAAAATGAAATTAAAGCAGTTTATTGGTATGAAAAAGCAGCAGAAAATGAAGTAGCAGTAGCACAATTTATTTTAGGTGTATATTATGAATATGGAATTGGAATTGAAAAGAATAAAACCAAAGCTTCTTATTGGTATCTTAAGGCATCAGAAAATGGAGATAGAAAAGCACAATATAATTTAGGAAATTACTATTATTATGACTCTAGTAAATATGAAGCATTTGATTGGTACAAAAAAGCAGCAAAGAATGGTGACAAAAGAGCACAATATAATTTAGGTATATGTTATTTTAATGGAGTTGGTATTGAAAAGAATGAAATTAAAGCTTTTTATTGGTATCAAAAAGCAGCAGAAAACGGTGTTAAAGAAGCACAATTTAATTTAGGTAAATGTTACTATGATGGAGTTGATAATGATAAAGATGAGGCTAAAGCCTTTTATTGGTATTATAAAGCAGCAGAACAAGGATTTAGTAAAGCACAAATTAATTTAGGTTTATGCTATGAAGAGGGAATTGGTATTGAAAAAGATGAAATTCAAGCTTTCTATTGGTATGAAAAAGCAGCAGAAAATGGTGATAAGGATACACAATTTATTTTAGGTATATGCTATGAAAAAGGAATTGTTATTGAAAAAGATGAAGTTAAAGCTTTTTATTGGTATCAAAAAGCAGCAGAAAATGGAGTCAAGGAAGTGCAGTTTAGATTAGGAAGTTGTTATTTTAATGGAATTGGTATTGAAAAAGATAATGTTAAGTCTTTTTATTGGTATCAAAAAGCAGCATATAATGCTGATAAAAAAGCACAATTTAATTTGGGTGTTTACTATTACAATGGAATTGGTGTTGAAGAAAATAAAGTTAAAGCTTTTCGCTGGTATAGATATGCTGCAGAAGATGGAAATCCTAAAGCACAATGCAATTTAGGTACATGTTATCTTAATGGAATTGGTATTGATAAAGACGAAGTTAAAGCATATTACTTGTATGAAAATGCAGCTAAAAATAGAATTAAAGAAGCACAACTTAATTTAGGAAACTGTTATTATAATGGAATTGGCATTGAAAAAAATGAAGTTAAAGCTTTTTATTGGTATAAAAAAGCAGCTAGAGATGGAGTTAAAGAAGCACAACTCAATTTAGGAAATTGTTATCTTAATGGAATTGGTATTAAAAAAGATGAAGTTAAAGCCTTTTATTGGTATCAAAAAGCAGCAGAAAATAATGTTAAAGAAGCACAGCTTAATTTAGGTTCATGTTATGAAATAGGATTTGGTATTAAAAAGGATGAAGCTAAGGCTTTCTATTGGTATCAAAAAGCAGCAGGACAAGGACTTAGTAAAGCACAAATTAATTTAGGTTTATGCTATGAAGAAGGAATTGGTATTGAAAAAGATGAAATTCAAGCTTTCTATTGGTATGAAAAAGCAGCAGAAAATGGTGATAAGGGTATACAATTTACGTTAGGTACATGTTATTTGAATGGAATTGGTATTGAAAAAGATGAAGTTAAAGCTTTTTATTGGTATCAAAAAGCAGCAGAAAATGGGGATAAGGATGTTCAACTTAATTTGGGAAATTGTTATTTTAATGGAATTTGTATTGAAAAAGATGAAGCTAAAGCATTTTATTGGTATCAAAAAGCAGCAGAAAATGGAATTCAAGTAGCACAAATTATTTTAGGAAATTGCTATTTTAATGGAATTATTATTAATAAAGATGAAATTAAAGCTTTTTATTGGTATGAAAAAGCAGCAGAGAATGGAGATAAAAATATACAATTTATTATAGGCACATGTTATGAAAATGGAATGATTGTTGAAAAAGATAAAGATAAAGCATTTTATTGGTATAATAAAGCAGCAGAAAGTGGGAGTATAAAAGCACAATATAATTTGGGCACATTGTATTTTTATGAAATGGATGATAAAATTAAATCATTTTATTGGTATAAAAAAGCAGCAGAAAATGGAGATAGTAAAGCTAAATATAATCTAGGTACTTGTTATTTTAATGGAATTGGAATTAGAGAAGATGAAACTAAAGCCTTTTATTGGTATCAAAAAGCAGCTGAAGAGATTAATGATGCACAATATAAACTGGGATATTTTTATGAAATTGGTAAAGGAGTTGAAAAAAATTTAGAAAAATCTATTTATTGGTTTAAAAGAGCTGAATTGGGGTGCTTAAATTTAACAGAGTGGATTAAAAATGCACTGAAATATGAAAGAGTTAAATTTATTCCTTATGTAGAATTAAAGAATGCAATTTTACTTCATACAGGAGGATTTGGGCAAATAACAAAGGCGGTTTGGTCCAAAATTAATAATTATGTTATTTGTAAAAAATTGACTAATACAATTGATATTGAAAATGATTTGCTAGATGCATTTGTTCATGAATTAAAAATGCGTTTTCATCTTAATTATAGTGACAGATTTATACATTGCTTTGGCATTAGTTTAGGTAATTTTCTTTATAATATATTTTTTACATATTTTGATTATTAATAAGTGGATTTCTTTTTTCTAGACCAAAATACAAAAGAGTATCTTCTTATTATGCAGTATGCCAATGGTGGAGATCTTCAAAATTATCTCAAAAATAATTTTAAGAATTTGACTTGGAATGATAAGAAAAAATTGGCATTTCAAATTGCAGATGGATTAGATTACTTGCATAATGAAAATGTTTTGCATAGAGATCTTGTAAGTATCATCATTTCATTTCATAATAGTAAACTGTGACGCCATTTAGAGCAATATACATTTTTTGTTACTAATCAACTATAACAATTTTATCGAACCATTTTATTATAGAATTCTAAGAGTATAGTTATTCATGAAAATAATGCTAAAATTACAGATTTTGGTATTTCAAAAAATTCAAATAACCAAATTTCAACTGCTCATATTGGTAATTTTGGCGTTATTGCTTATATGGAACCACAACGCATTTTAGATCCAAAATTTCCATATACTAAATCTTCAGACATTTATAGTTTTGGAGTAATAATGTGGGAAATTTCTAGTGGATGTCCTCCATTTAAAATTTGTGATAATAATATTGCACTTGCTGTTTCTATTAATACTGGTGTTCATGAGGTTGTGATCCCTGATACTCCTAAAGAATATGAAAAACTCTACAAACATTGTTGGAGCCGAGAACCTGAACAAAGGCCAACTATTAAGGAAGTATTGGATGAATTCGAAAGAATGGGATTTGTTATTAATGTCGCAAATAAATCAATCAAAGGTATTTGTTGACATAATTTATATTAATACTTTATATATCTTGATAATACATTGATAAAATAAAATTATTATTAATTGAAGATATTATTGATTTAACTTCAGAATTGCAAACTATGCAAACTACTAGTAGTGAATCTTTGGAATATGTTCAATCCTCTAATTTACACAGTAAGTTTATTATTTTTAATTTTCATCAACTTTAATAATATGATAATGAATTAAATTGTTTTTATTTATTGTATTTAGTTGATTTGCACAATTAAATTGACTGACTCATTAAGGATGAAAAGTTTTAGTAAACGGTTTACTGCAATTTTAATTAGGTAATATCAAATATCAATTACTATTTTAAAAAATGCTCAATACTAGTAGCTAAAAGACAGGCATAAATAGTGGTTGGTTATACAAAAATACAATATTTTATAAAAGAAATTATTTTTATCAAGGGTTATTTAATTAAAATTTAAATAACTCTTGATAACAATTTCCTATTTTTAATGTTAAAAGTATATAACCAGAAAACAGAAACCGTTATGGGCCCGGAGCGATAAAATTTTTTACCATCTATTTATCTTTTTTATTATGTATCACAAATTTTATTCTATTTTTATCTTGTTTATATTTTTTTTTTGTTTATAAATGTAGCAGTGACGTAATATAAAAAAATAAATTATAAATTACTAGTTCGTTATTTTTTTTAAATGTGCATTGTGCAGTATCATATTTATTCAATTGTTTTATTATGTTTTTAGTTTCAGAAATTGATAAATTAAAATATTAAAAGCTTACAATTTATTTGACTTGATTATCTTTTGCACTGAATTATTTAGATTTTTTTATTCTTAATTGAAAACTAACCATTCATTTAATGCTTAAATAAAAAAATTTTTAATGCCTATAAAAAAAGTAGTAATAGTAATAGAAGAGTATCAAAATTTATTAAATTTTGCAAAAAGAAAACAAAAAGGTTTAAGTATTGAAAATTTTTTGAATTCCAAAAATTGAGTGCGTTCCCTATATTATAAAATTTATCTACCGCTAGAAAAAATTTCATGATCATGTTTTAGAAAATTCGATCTTATAAAAATACAGACACTGTACGACCACCCCGCAGCATTACCTGTAAGGTTGCCAACCACAGTGAATTATTCTCGGTTAAATAATAAATTTATTAATAATAAAAGTGCGTAAAAATTCAAAATGTTGCCCAAAGTTAGCCTATATATAAGAAAATGTCAATCCTATCCATTAAATCCACTTTTCTGATATCTCCATCTCAACCATAATATCCACCATAATCACTAATAGTTTGGTATTATTTCGGACCACTAAAATTAAATAAACATTAAAAATAAAAAATATGCTAAAAATAAATATTAAACTGTACCACTATTCTAATTATAGTCTTAGTGAAATTTGGCATTACAATCTCATGTCGATCGTCCATGATACGTAGCATAATTTTTTCGTTTTGATCAATTTTAAATTAACTTTTTTTTCACTTCGTTTTAATGAACTATTTCTTATTTGGTTATGTCAAGCCAACAAAACAAAAGTTTGTAAAGGGTGTCATGTTTGAAGAGTTTCTGAATATGAAAGGTGTTGCTTTAGAAAAGTGTTTAACGTTGGCGAAATAATATAAAGACTATTTGCGGGAAATACTAAATAAGATAGATATACACGAACATTATGATATAAAAATGTAATTTTTTAATTTTTTATTGATGTTAATATTAAGGATTATTAGAAAAATCACGTAACAAGCCAAAACGACATTTATGGTTAAAAAATGTTCGTTCTAATTTTAACTCATTGATATTATAGCACTTGAAAATCGTAGAACTATGCCGAGAACTTGGAAAGATTTTAATAAGAATAAAAGGTATTGGAAGTGTAGTATTAAATTTTCAGAAACATGTTTAAATAAAATCGATAAAATACGTATGTTGTGCTTTAATAAAATCCTGACAATTGAGATGTATATAATATGAGCTTATTTGAAATTGTTACAATGGTCGAAATACTCATGAAAGTATCAAAAAATCATTATCCAAAATCACGTGTAACCCGGCAAATTAGATCCTGCTACGAGAGTGGTTTACACGTTTGCGTATTAAACTAAGGGCTGAGAGCCTGAGACATATTTACTAAATTTTGGTCTTGTGAGATAAAATACAAAAAAGAGGAATTATTTTGTAGATGGTTTACAGCCGAATTAGGATTAGCAGGTATAAAAGAAAGACATAATGGCAAGCATATAAAGAAACTGAAGGTACTGTCACTACTGTGACGAAAGCGGATAATTTGGGATTTATGTGAAAAGGGATACATTTTCGCTTTTGGTAAATTCTTCAGATCAATGATAAATTGGTAGTAATAACAAATGTTCAAGAGAAGAGAAATGGCAAACTCGGTGGAAAAGCTATGGAGCTAGGTGCTTGGACAATGAAACCGAATCATAAAGTTGTTAAAGAAGTCGATAGTAAAGAAAACGTTAACAATTTCAGATGGGCAATTAGCTGAGTGGGATTTTCATGAAAAGAATGAGAAGAAGCAAATAATAAAAATTTATTAGAGAAAAAGTCAATGAGTTTAATGGGTTTGGTCAAGACTTCAAAAGATCAAGAAGTTAATAAAGACTTAAGCGTTAATGATGTAACAAAGTTCAATTATTACGCACCGCTTCCTTATAATAGAGCTTTTTCCCAAATTACCCTATGGATAATATAAGATTTTAAACACCATACGTTGGCTCGATCCAAACACGAATTATTAGTCATCCCTAAATATATTATTTGTTAGTCGTAAAGTATTATACTAAATTTTCATCATATTTTTTTTTAACCATCAATTTCTAAATATTCTTTAAAATATTTTTGCAAACGATATTGTCATGAAAAATCAATTTCATTGATGTTATGGAAATCATAAACTTTTGCCTAATTTATACAAACATATATCTTAAAGAATTCTTTTTTCTTGTTTACTGATTGTTGGATGTTATTTATACAATATAAGAACAATTTAACAAATTCAAATTAATTTATGACGGTTTATATTGTTGCTGACTTAGCCAAGTCTTTAAAAAACTTGTTGTCACCTGATCACCAACGTTGAGGTGCAGCAACATTGATCAGGACCTCGAAAAAAAAGGGAAAAGAAAAGATGAGAAAGGGAAAGGGAAAGGAGGACGAGAAGGGAAAAGAGCGAGGGAAAGCAAAACATATACCACACCCAACACACACGCTTCACACCACACACACCCGCCCACACAACAACCCGCACCCAACACACATGCCTCACACCACAACCCACACTCACACACACCTCACACCGCACACACAACACACACACTAGAACGAAGGGAAAGTAAAGGTATTTATATATATTTTTTTTGAGATATACTTTGTACGTGAATGAAATTGATTAGTCATGACTCATAAGTCATAAGTTATGACTAATATTATAACATATCACAACTCCTAAATAGATGATAATTACAAAAAAAATTCAGCCCTCTAAGCCTCAAAAAAAAAAAAAAAAAAAATTTACCCGTAAAAAAAATAGGATTTACTACTACAGACGGTGTATTAAAATTTAAGTTTGAAAATGTAGTACATTGTTAATTATTTATTTATAATTTATAAATACCACTTGCGTCTATATTATATATATTTAATTTATGTTATACTGCGCATAAATACTGATCGGTTGGTTTGATAATTTGTTATGAACGTAAATTTTTTTGATTATTATTGGTTGATCATATATCAAATTAAATTTTTACACGTTATAAAATTAATGTTGCTTTATAGGATTTATTAATTACAAATAAAAATCACAAACCAATAACAGATTTCATTTTAAAAATATAGATTAAATTTAGAAATTTAGAAATTTTGTGATTTTTTTCGTGATTTAAAATTACGCCAATCTAACGTATCAAATACTATTTTAGTCACAAAGCTACTTTAATATCATCGATATGCAAATTTCCTAATATATTTAAATTTGAATTTAATACGCCGACTATACGATAATATCGATAGGCACGCACATCATCAATTGCGGCTAAAAGTAGAATCACATGAGTGACGATTAATATTAGTCATATTAGTCATCATTTTTTACGCGATTTTTTTACTCGTTACTTTATAGCTACCTATTACTCGGACTTATTGATATTAATGAAATCTTGTTACTTTTATTAAATGCTTTTTTATAAGAGAATAAAAAGAAAAATCTATTTAAAATAAATTACAAAATGAAAAATGAATATATATATTAATTGTTCAAAATAAGAAATAAATAAAATAACTAAAAACTGTTCATTAAATGTTTTTCATATGAATCTCAAATTATATATTATAAATGAGCCTTTCTGTTTACATCCTTATCATATCTAACATTTTTATATAGTCTAATTCCTTTCGTTTCCATAACTTTACGTAATTTTTCATATGTATTTGAAGCATAATGAATACTTAGATGAGACCTAGAACCAAATGGTATTAACCAGTTACTATCTCTATAAATTAGATCTTTTCTTAAAAACTTTTGACTAGAATCTAATTCTAATGGAATAACTCTATCTCTAAGCATGAACGTTGGCATGAGGGAACTGCTGTGATCAAATATCAAATTTTTAACATTCCAAGAAGGTCCAAAATCTGGTGAGAAACGCGTAAGATATGTTTCAATATTATCACGCATTAATAAACCTCCAATTTGTTCAATATTTTCTATCATCCATAAAATAGTTGCTTTAGATATTCTTTCGTTACCACCAAATTTTAAAACAGTTCCTCCTCCTATTTCTATATGTATACCAGGAAACCAAGTCTCTTTGATAGTTACTGTTCCAGAACTATTTGGAAATATACGACAAGGTTCAAAGAATGATATTCTTTCATGTGTTGCTAAAGCTTGACATGCAAAATTAACTATATTAGGTATAGTTTGATCATAAAACTCCAAATATTTAAACCCTTCCCCAATTATATAGGCGGGTATGCCATAAGCACCAACTGTATCCCATAATCCAAGAAATTTAATAATCGGTTTTTCAGAATCAGGATAACTAAATGCCTTTTTAAAGTTATCAGATCCACTTCCTTCCGGGTGATAAATCACGTCTCTATCACAATAAATTTCATAAGCTAGATTAACACGTTTGTCTATTTGATCTGATGTAATGTCTTGGTTAATTTTTAATATTCCACAATTTCGAATCATTCCCGCAATACATCTAACAGTGTAAGCACCACGACTAAAACCAAAAAGCCATATATCATCACCGGGATTATAAGGCCACACAAATTCAATTTTTCGGTTCACGTAACATTGAAATTTAAAATCGACCCGGGGACCCGGGGTTTATTGTTTATTAGTAAAAAAAGTTTATATATAAAATCGTGACATCTGATTGGTTGACTTTTAAAAATGAGGAATTTATTTTCGCTCTAGAAGTTCTCAGCCGCGTGATAAACTTACCCGCCAATAAAAAAACGTACTGATCACATGATAAAATTTTTATATATAAACTTTTTTTTATTGAAATTTGAAAAAGTGACCCGGCCGGGTGAAGTGAACCGAAAATTCGAATTTGTGTGGCCTAATGAGTAATTATGTATTCATAACCTTTTTTAATTTTAGCATCAAGACTTAAAGCTATAGCTCCATCTATAATAAAACCAAAAGCCATTTCTCCAACTCCAATTCCATCTATATATAAAACATGTTGTTGATAGTCTCTTTCAAGTAATTCTTTATATAATAAATAAATGTTGCTTTTAGAATTCGGACTATTCCAAGTACCATCACATAATACGACGATATTTTTGCCCATTATTACGAGGGTGATTTAAAAAAAAAAAATGAAAATGAAAAAAAAAAATATGAATTATTTTGAAATGAAAAATGAAAATACAGATGAATTATTTTATTTGGAAAATGAAAACAAATGTGAATTGTGTTGAAAAAAAATGAAATAAATATAAATTATTTTAATTGAAAATGAAATAAATATGAATTATTTTAATTGAGAATGAAAATAAATATGAATTATTTTAGAATGAAAATGGAAATGCAGATGAATTGGTAGTATTTAAAATGAAAAGCGAGTGTTAATACATCGAGGTTAATTTATAACTTTTTTTTACGTTAATTATTGGTTTTTTGCGTTCCACGTGAGACTGCGCAAAGTCGGAATATGATTCCATGGATAAGCAGACTCTTGTTGCACATTTTTGGAAACAATCATCAAAATTTAGTTTTGTGGAAGTTTAATGAATAATGCAGTGCAACCATGATGCAGGTTGCATATTCCAAAATTAGAAACTAAGTTTAATTGAAAAAAAATTCAATCTTATAAAATCCCCAAAAATCGGAAATCATATTCTAAATGAGTGAAAGAACAATAAACCAGTGGTCGGAATAAAAAAAATTCTTAGAAATTTGTAAGAACGATTCAAATTTTCCAGTCTAACCAGAATTAATATGTTAGTAAAAATGTTACAAATTATAATAATCGGAGAATCGGTGAATTCGTACGACATAATAACGTCAAAACTGTAGATGACTATCATATTCATTATTTTATACCATTATTTAGTAATAAAACAAACCACATTCAAACGTATACATTCTTTGTGTATTTTGTTACGAGGCGTATTGTGGCTTATTAAACTTGGCTTATTTTTTCAATGCATTTCATTGTTAAATTTAGATAATTGTTATTAAAATTATCAAAAGAATTTACTAACCTAAAATCTGTAGTAGTACGCCATGAATTTTTAAAGAGTAATAATTTTTTAAGAAAGGAAGTCATAAATGCAGATATCTGTAACAGAATTGATGAATATAAAAATAGGTAATTATTTAAATAAGACATAATAAATTTATTTATTAATGTTGATTTATTTATAAGCATTACTGATTGTTCACTATTCTTTATATTATTAGAATATTGTGTAATGGATTACCATGTCCGTTTTGTGGTCAATCTTTACCTTAATTCTTTATCAAAAAGACTCAACGGTTTGAACGACCGCAGTTTATAACCGCAGTACCCGCAGTACCTAATTAATTGTGGTTTAATTTAATTATAATTCTCAATTTAACCTTACAAGCTGGGCGTGTAAATATAAATACTACTAAAGGTATAAAAGCTGATTATCTTACAAAGTACAAATACTAGTATGTCAATTTTTAGTATACTTGAATCTCAGAAAACAGATAGTACACCTACGGTATTAATAGGGAAATGAAGAATTATAGAGGTACACCTTTTCTTTTACTTTTTCTTCCCGCTTCTCTAAATATACTTTTAGGAGTCTAAATAATATTCTAAATGTAAAGTATTGCTCACAAAGCTAGTAAGAAAAAATTTTCACACTAAAATTTTTTTCCTTTATACAATAGGCGTGTTGTTTGTTTTCTTTTATACAGAAATTCCGTTTATTTTACTTATTTTACAAAATAATTTGACTTTTGTTAAATAATAAAGTTATGGAACATTTAGATATTGATTTTTATGATGATATCGTAAAATTTATGAGGTTATTACATTTTTAATAAAATTTACGGTGCGTGTATATACAGTACTTTATTCTTTTCAAAATAATTTCAGTATCTTATTTAAACTATACTGGCTTTGTCAAACATGTAGAATTGTTTAGTAGGTGTGGGATTCATTCAGAATCAAAACTTTATTAAATCAACTTGAGTACTTATAGATGGATAATTGTGTTTATAAAATTCTTTGTGTCCGTTTATTAAAACTTCAACAAAATACATATAGAGCTTTATTTAAATTTGAAATGTATTATTAAAATATTAAAATGTTTAATTAATATTTTGGTTCTTTTATTATATTTAAAATTAAGGTGATACGGAATGCTTCTGAACAATTAATTATGAGCGATGCGCCACACTTTTGGGCCAATCATATTTAAGAAAAGGTAAATTATTCGTTTTATAATGTATTTTATTTGCTTAGCTATATACAGTAATCCAAAAAGGTGAATTTATTATTGTAGTGACTTATTATTTGAGAAGTAAACTGAAAATCAATCAATTATTTAAGAGAAATGTTAATTTCAGAGACAACTATAAGATTAATTTGTAAAAATTAAAAATCATAACGAGCGATTATTATTAGAAAAACAAAAGCATGGTGATTAAAACACTATAAAAATAGCTTTTTTTACAATATTATAATTTATACATGAAACTTAATAATATACAATTATATATACCGTGTCCGTTACGGTATTCTGACTTTCGCTGAAGTCTATTTCACCGACGGGACATTTCATCGAATAGATATTTCACCGAATGGATATTTCACTGAACCGAAGCTATTTCACCGAAAATTTTAAATCATATTTTTCCAAATAACCATATGATATTTACGTAAATTTTGTTATTAAACATTATTAATACTTTAATATTTATTAATAAAAAAATCGGTATTAGATTGAATTTTTAATGATAATCCTATTCGGTGAAGTAGATTTCGGTGAAATAAATGATTTGGAGAAAAGGATTCAGCAAATGTCCATTCAGCGAAATTTCTATTCGACGAAATGTCCTTTCGAAACATCCTTCGATGAAATGGCTTCGGCAGTTCTCCAGCGAAATGGACTCAGGCGAAAGCGCAAAACGTATCGTAACCGTTCCGTTACCAATAGTAAAATTTTTTAAAATCTAGTATATCTGATATCGAGAAGTTTGTTATATAGGGAACAAATTCATTATAGATTTTAATATTCAAATGTTTAGAAATTGATAAAAAAATAAGTTTGATGAAATCCGCATACTTCAATAACCTAGGCTCGTCATAAGGATACGATAATCTGTTATATGAATCACATTAGAAATTTAAAAGTTTCGAATTATGCGTGTGAAAAAAAACATTAATTAAAAAATGATGTTAATTTTTTTATTTTCCTTTTTCTTTTCTTGGAGCTTATCATCAAAGAAGGAAGTTATAATAGATTACGACCCGAGCATACTTACTATTAGCTCTACACATTTCTTCAGGGCCAGAAATACACAATGCCGCCTGGCATTATCAAAAAAGGAATGATCTACATTATTATTTGTTAATTTTCTACGAGGTCGTCTCCAAAAGTTTTGAAGAAATTTGCAGTATTAAATTTCATTTATTTACTATCTCTCTCACACTTCCCTTCCTTCTTTCCTTTTTTTTCCCTCGTTCTTCCTCACTTCCTTATTCTTTCTGTTCTTTCTCTTTCCCCTCACTCTTATCATTTCCAGCAAAGTAACCAAATATATATTTTTTCGCATAATTTTGCAATTTTTTACACCTTTCCCTTTTTTAAAAAAATTCTATAATAGCATTTTTATAATTTTTTTCTTTTATTGGGTTAATATATTCACACACACACAATCCCTTACCCTCCCCTTTTCCTCTTTTGTTCCTCATATTATTGGCATCCATTCCTTTCCTTATGTTTGATACTTTTGTTGGACCAGCATGATGCTATGCATGGGCGGGAGCATAGTATGCTTACTTTGTGAGCCTGTGAATACCCTGCGATAGAGTGGAGGGGCACGGGGCTATGCGTAAATTTTTACACGGTGGAGTATCCTTTTGTGGTAGTACTGAAGTTGCTTTATCATTAATATAATAATGATGAGTAGCAAGATCTATATATATTCTGCTTTTTGTATAATTTAATTGTTCTTTTTTTGTATTTATATTAAAATTTTTTATCAAAAAATATGTAAATATGAATGACTATAATTTTCCATAACGTATATAAAATTTCCGCAGTAACAAAGCATCACATGACTTATTATCACGTTTTCGTACAATAATAATATTGTTTGCAGCATTTGTGTAATCATGAGACAGCAAGAGATTGGTGTTTTATATCTTTTATAATTTTACTTAAAAGGCGTCGGGTTTACAATATTTAGTGTAACCAATAATGTCGCACCGCGTTTTCATTATAATTCTGATAATTGTACCCATGCTGCAATAATAAAATTTCACGCACGGATCTGGTTTTTAATAACTTTTCTTTTTTCTTTCCTTTTTTTTTTTTTAACAAATACAATTCATAAAGTTTCTCAAAAAAAAAGAAGAGAAAAAAAACACAATGTCATCAAACAATAATTTAAAAGATGATGAAACTTTTTTAAAAGAATTTTTAAAAGATTTTTATCATCGTATAATTAAAATAGATAATTATGAAAAATTTGAAAATATTTTAAAAGAATGGGTACAAGATTATTTTAATATTAATGAAAAAAATCCTGAAATAATTTTAAAATTAATGGAAGATCATAAAGAGAATAATAATTGGTTTTCAAGTTTAATAGGATTTTTTTATGAACATGATATAGGTGATACGATAATCATTGATAAAAATAAATCATTAAAATTATATTTATTATCAATTAATAATAATAAAAAAGAAAATAAAAAATAGATTTCTTCTATGTATCAATTATTAAATATTATTATTTCAAAATATTTATTATCATTTTATTATTATAAAGATATTATTTTAAATAAGAGAGATTTGATCGCAAAAGAATCTGATTATTATGAAAATAAATATATAATGTCATATAATCAGGTCGAAAATTTTGATGGATTAGAAATAAATATATGCAAAGATGAGATAAGTACTATGGAAAAATATTTTGAATCAAAAGATAAAGGTATTAATGAAAATCAAATGGAAAAGAAAGAGTTAATAGAGTTGAACAATTTAGGTTATTGTTATCAGCATGGAGTAGGAAAAAAGAAAGATGAGTTTAAAGCATTTGAATTTTATTTAAAATCAGCGGAAGGAGGTAATTCCGACGCACAGAATAACATAGGTTATTGTTATCAAAATGGGATTGGAATAACAAAAGATGAAGAGAAAGCATTTGAATGGTATTTAAAAGCTGCTAATAAAGGTGATTTACATGCGCAGTATAACTTAGGTGTTTGTTATCAAAATGGAATGGGAGTCAATAAAGATAACAAAACAGCCTTTGAATGGTATCTTAAATCAGCTAAAGAAGGTTATTCACCAGCACAATATATATTAGGTAATTATTACCAAAATGAAATTGGAATAGAGAAGGATTTAGAACAAGCTATTCACTGGTACAGTAAAGCAGCAGAAAATGGAAATAAAGTAGCACAATATAATTTGGGTAATTGTTTTAAAAATACAGAAAATGGAGAGAAAAAAGCTTTTGAATATTACAAAAAATCAGCTAATCAAGAATACTTAGAAGCTCAATTTGAATTAGGATGTTGCTATGATAAAGGAATTGGTACTGAAATTAATAAAACTAAAGCATTCAATTTATATGAAGTAGCAGCTACAAAAGAACATATTATCGCACAATATAATCTTGGAATTTTGTACAGAAATGGTGAAGGTATAGGAATGGATTTCGAAAAGGCAGTTTATTGGTTTAACAAAGCAGCAGAAAATGGATATGAAGTAGCACAATATGACTTAGGAAGTCATTATCAATTTGGAATAGGAGTTGAAATAAATGAAGTCAAAGCATTTGAATGTTATGAGAAAGCAGCTTATAAAGAATATTTAGATGCTCAATTTGAATTAGGATATTGTTATGATAATGGAATTGGTACTGAAGTTAATAAAACAAAAGCATTTGAATTATATAGTATAGCAGCTGATAAAGGATGTGATGCTGCGCAAAATAATCTTGGAGTTCTATATGGATGTGGTATAGGAACTGAAATCAATGTAGAAAAAGCTTTTTATTGGTACAATAAAGCTGCAGAAAATGGATATTGTATAGCACAATATAATATAGCATATTATTATCAATTTGGATTAGGAGTTGAAAAGGATGAGGGTAAGGCATTTGAATATTATAAAAAAGCAGCTGATCAAGAATGTTTAAAAGCTCAGTATGAATTAGGATATTGTTATTATAATGGAATTGGTACTGAAGTTGATAAGACAAAAGCATTTGAATTATTTAATATAGCAGCAGAAAAAGAATGCGCTTCAGCACAAACTTATCTTGGTTATTTATATGAACATGGTCAAGGTACAGAAGTGAATTTAGAAAGAGCTATTTACTGGTATAATAAATCAGCAGAAAACGGAAATGAAGTTGCACAATATAATTTAGGCAGATGTTATAAGTATGGAAAAGGTGTTGAAAAAGATGAAAATAAAGCTTTTGAATATTATAAAAAAGCAGCTGACAAAGAATATTTGAATGCTCAATATCAACTTGGATATTGCTATGATAAAGGAATTGGTACAGAGATTGATAAAACAAAAGCTTTTGAACTATATAAAATTGCTGCTGAAAAAGAACATGTTCTCACACAAAATAGTTTAGGAATATTATATGAGAATGGTGAAGGTACTGAAATAAATTTAGAAAATGCTGTTTATTGGTACAGTAGAGCAGCAGAAAATGGAAATGAAGCAGCACTATATAATTTAGCTAATTGTTATCAATTTGGAAAAGGTGTCAAAAAAGATGAAAGGAAAGCTTTTGAATATTATAAAAAATCAGCCGATAAAGAATATCTAAATGGCCTATTTAGTCTTGGATATTGTTATTTTGAAGGAATTGGAATTGAGGCTGATGAAGCAAAGGCATTTGAGTTATACATAATAGCAGCTAAACAAGGGTGTATTCCTGCACAAACTAGTCTTGGTTATTTATATGGAAGTGGCAAAGGAATTGAGAAAGATTTAGAAAAAGCTTTTTATTGGCATAATAAAGCGGCAGAAGGAGGATGTAAAACAGCATTATATAATTTAGGTGAATGTTATGAATTAGGAAATGGTGTGAATAAAGATCTGTTTAAAGCATTTGAATATTATAAGAAATCAGCTGAAGATGGAGATAAGGAATTGAAATTTCACCTTGGATATTGCTATGTAAATGGTATTGGAATTGAAGTTGATAAAGAAAAAGGGTTTGAATTATATAATGAGGCAGTTGGAAAAAATATTCAAGTTAATCTCATTGAAAATGATGAAGAATTAGTAAATGATTTAGATAAAGTTTATTATTGGTATCATAAAGCTGCAGAAAATAATAATAAACTTGCATTATATAAATTGGGTGAATTTTATGAATTAGGAAAGGGTATTTTCCAAAATCTGATTAGAGCATTTGAATTTTATAAAAAATCAGCCGATCAAGGATTTATTGATGCTCAATATAAACTTGGATATTTTTATGAAAAAGGAATTGATATTGATGTTGATAAAGTAAAGGCATTTGAGTCTTATAAAATAGCTGCAGAAGGAGGAAACATCAATGCACAAAGAAATCTTGCATTTTTATATGAACAAGGCGAAGGAACTGATAAAAGTGCGGAAAATGCTATTTATTGGTATAAGAAAGTTATAGAAAATGGATATTTAGATGTTCAAGAGAAGTTAGATATACTTTTACAACAACTAGAAATTCAAGGTTAAAATATCTTCTCAAAATAAATTAATTCATACTTAACTACAATATTTATTTATAGAATCAATTTTTAAAATTAATAAAAATCTTGTTTCTAATTTTCTAGTTAAAAAATTGAAAAAACTATTTTTATCAAATAGGTCTTTATTTGTATTTTTATAATAATTTTGTTTGATTAAAGTATTAATATTTCATTTAAATAGCAATAGCTGTCCACTTTCGCAAACTTCTTTTAATTATTAAAATGTATGTATTCATCAATCCCTGCCAAAATATTTATTGAGCGTTCATTCTGGATGGGAAATCCTTAATCCAGTCCTCTTATCAAATTTCAGTGTAGATATGAAAAAATGTTTAGGTGTTATCGAAAAAAAAGTCAAACAGTTAACATATTTTCTACATATCGTTCGCTATATTAAGTCTGTTGTTAAGGATATTGATATTAATACTATATCTAATACTGTATTTACGATATTAGTATTAAATATAATATTTTACAATCAGATTTTTGAAATTTCTTAATCCATTCTCTGATTATATTATATCGAAAATATTTGGTGTACATATTATAGAAATCTTCATTAGGTTAAATGAGTTAAGCTTTTAGTTTCTCATTACTAACCACTGACCCTAGCGTCATCTCCAAAAAATGGTAGCCAGATCTAATTTGCCGGGTTACATATGATGATTTTGGATGATGATTTTTGGTACTCTCATGAGTATTTCGATTATTATAATAATTTTCAAATAAACTACATCTCAATTGTATTAAGTGTGTCATTTATTTTATTTAAGCATGTTTCTGAAAGTTTAATGCTACCATTGAATACCTTGTATATATTCTTATTAAATCTTTCCAACATCAGGATTCAGGAGTTTAAAAAGGGTGTGAACTTGCAAACTACAAATCTACAATACCTACGTGAGTATGCGGGATATGCAAATTAGTAAACATATGCAATAATAACACATTTTTTTAATAATAAATTTATGCTCTATTGCAAACAACTTATAAATTATAAATAATATGTACTGTAACTACTATGCGCAATCATGCACGTGCATGGTGGGATGGTGCGATTGGTGCGTGGTATCATGCACCCCGCCTATCTCTAATCATGTTACTTAAATTTTATTAGTCCATGATCACGTGATCCGGGTTATCGAATCATTTTTACTGGTTAGAAAATTGATTCGCTATTGAGCTAGATGAACTCTTTCCCACAAAAATTTTGGAGCAAAATTTTTTACAACGTCGACGTTTATTTCAGTAAATATTACTAAAACGTTCAGTTTGTTCCCATTACACTCGAGAAAAGTTTTCTCACTGTTACTTAATCCTTATAACATATTTGTTTAGTACTTCACTTCTTTTTTTTTTTATTTTTTTAATTTGTTCATAATATTTTCTGTTGCGCTAAGTGTCAAAAGTTAGGAACAATTTTCAACTGGTCTATTACCACCCTTGTGCACCACCCTATCTTCTACTCTTATCAATTTCACGAAGTCCTCACAAATCTATTATGCCTGAAGGTCCCTTAACCCCACTAGCCACTCGTGCTATTATTCGTCTTTACAAACCTACGAAACTACATACACTTTCTCTCCGTGTGAAAAAACTTAATTCCTTTGTCGCTAATGACACTACTTGCTCGCACTCGATAAAAAGGCCGACTTACCTGTATCACAAAATTCAGAATACCTGATCTACACAAGAACACTGTCATATATTCCGATCTACATCTAAGAAGGCTAATTTTAACTTTATATTAGGAATCTTCCTCACGTTTGTCTTTTCCTTAACCAGGCAATTTCCCAAGAGAGCCGTGGACAAATACTTTAAGAGATTACGCCAACTTCTCATAGAAAAATTTTGTGCCATACGTCATAGAATTGCAAGTGACAAAAATAATAATAGAAAAACTAAAACTTTATCCGGTTTAGTTACGGAGATCACGTGATTCATCTTGGCTTTCACTTAGCCTGCGAGGAATGGATGAACTGCTTTCATCCTCCAGCTTTTGTTATGTCTCGTTACCGTTGGCGATGTCAACGACATTATCATCAAGCTATAGACACTTGCCACAAGGAGAGCCCGCTGGAAACTGATCCACGATTTGACAAACCACAAAAGACTTCAACTAAAGTTAATAATTCTTCAGCGGATCCCGCTTTCATCAGAGCCAATCCACCATTAACAACAGCAAAGATGTTCATTTACAACACTTAAGCGTTAATTATACGGTCACAATACGTAAATATAATAATAAAAATAATCAAGCTGGCTGAATTAAGTTCTTCAGGAGAAGAGGCTAGCAAAGTATATCCTATTGCATTCCTTATTGGAACACCAGGCAGCGTACAACGTGCCTTGAACTAATTATCGTTATCACCTGTAACGTCTTATAACAAAAAGACACACGTACACACCGAACGTCGTTATTTCAAAGAATACTCACGTCACGATCCGTTTGCCACAACAGATTCAACTTTGGAATCGTTTAACGAAAAGTGTTTTACATCATAAAGCCCATGGGAGCTCGATGAGTCTGAAACCATATTTGCTTAACGAAGTCAAGGCAGGCTCTCGTCCCTATGTTGTTTTTAAACAGGTATACCACATGCCCAAACGCACCAAAGATTGGGATAGCGTAGATCGAGAAATGGCTGCAAAGCGCGATGGTTATCACCCTACAGCGGTCCTTCGTCGGACCAAAAATTGGATACATAGAGTTAAAAACGTAACAAATCCAAGAAACAGATACTTCCTTTACCACCCGATTTACGAGAAGACATTCGATTATATTATTATAATACTTACAACATTAACTTAGAAATGTATCAGTAAATCGTGATGTATTAGTAGATATGTCATTGGTAAATTGGCACCGTTTAATTGATTAATCGAGAGTCTAAATTGTATATTTACTGATCTTTTTTTTTTTTAAAAAAAAAAATAGCTACCTTTATATAATACAAATGATGATACATGGACTTCAAAGGTAAGGTGTTTCTTTTGAATTAAGTTAATTGTTCATTCTCTTATAAAAGATACATTATATTCAGAAAACCATTGGTGATCCGCCAACACCTCGTGCATACCATTCTGCCGTTCTGAGTAATTATATCCTTTTAAACTTATTTTTGTGAATTAAATTTAATAAATGGGTAATATATTAAATTGTTCTCTAAATTATATAGCTCAAGATGGTCGTATTATCGTGTATGGAGGTATTGATAAGGCTGCAACCGATGATCTTGTGATATTAGATGTATCACAAGCTGATTATACTTGGTCAAGAGCGAATGTCTCCACAAAATCACCACTTTCACGTTCTTACCATACGGCTACTTTGGTCGGTCATTATATGTTTGTGATTTTTGGAAAAAATAATGAGTTCTTATTACCAACCACACCAAATGAAGTATTTATTTTAGACACGAGCGATAAATCTAATTACAAATGGGTTAGTGAGTTTGATCCTAATCTGATACTTCCCACACCTCCAACAGCTCCTACACCTCCAAGAACTCCCACGCCTCCAACAACTCAAGATCAAAATTTAAGTACTCAAAACAGAAATCTAGGAATTATAATTTTACCAATTGTACTTATCTTGATAGGGGCTTCATTTCTTATATACTTTTATAGGAAAAGACGACTATCAAGATTAGATATGTTTGTACACTTTCCACAGATAAATTAATGCTGTGCTACGCTGCGAAAAACCTGGAAAGCTGACGCGTAAGTTTAATATGATTAATTCATTTCATTTAGGAGAAAAAAAATGGTTACTATGTTAATTCCTTCCGATGTTTATTTATATTTTACATTCATTTTAATATGTGTTTTCTTTTTTATTAGTGCTCCGCACGAGCCAGTCCAGCTCGAGCAGGCTTGCAAGCTCCAGGACTTTTTTCTTTATTATTATTGTTATTGTTGTTATTATTATTATTATTGTTGTTGTTGTTGTTGTTGTTGTTGTTGTTGTTGTTGTTGTTGTTGTTGTTGTTATTATTATTATTATTACTATTACTATTATTATTATTATTATTATTACTATTATTATCATTATTATTATCATTATTATCATTATTATTATCATTATTATAATTATCATCATCATCATCATCATCATCATCATCATCATTATTATCATTATTATTATTATGAACATAATAAATTGCACTTTGCGATATACACTTGTTAAAATACAAATGCATATAATAATGTACTATACCTACCTAATATAGTAATATTTAGTGATAGCACCTAAAATCTACGGTTATTCCTTCCCTCTTTGATGGCATTATGTGTTAGTTTCTCTTATTTTCTCTAGCATTTTTTCAAAATTAATAAAGTTACGTGTTATTTATAATAAAAAGCATTTGGATTATAGCTATGTATATAGTAAATGATTCATATGGCTTCAGATATCTCATAATGACATATGATTTTATATATCTACACAAAGAACATTTGATAGAAAGTTTAATGAAAGTTTCAGACTTATAATTTGATGAATATAAATGTAAAATTACTTTGTTTTATTTCTTTTTAATAAATCACTAAGTATATAAATAATGGTGTTATAACTAATCGCATCTCTTTACCTTAATATTTTTTTTGAAGATTATTGACAAACTAAATCGACCCTTGTCGGCTTTGTGTATCTAAGAAAAGAGAAATTTTGAATGCCAGTTTTCTCATTGGAATTTAGATTTATTTTCAAAATAAAATAGGTATATTCTCAAAATAATGATTAGTGAGGATCGATAATACTTAATAAGCAATAGCGTTACAAATAAATTTGATATTGAAAATTTAACTCGTAAAATCTTTTACGCAGTAAAGAAAATAAAATAAAATTAATTTAAGCAACAGTTTTCACATTAAAGAAAATTAATAACTTGAATAACATATTTTGATTTAAAAAATGTAAAACAAATGGTAAGGCAAAAGATGTTATGCTACGATCGACAATAGTAATCAAACAAAATAAAGATTTATTAATATTGTAAACATTCAAAACTAAGTAAAGAAATTATTTAAAATGATAAATACATCTCAAAAACTATCCGACGACTAATTTGTTAATAATTTATTAAGAAAATTTTAATTATAACTAGAAATTTTCCAAGATGTTACGGAGAATTTTAGTTCTTTCGGATATTAAACGATCGGTATGTACTTTGCCTATCCCTGTGAATGACGTTAACTCAGTAATTTGGTCTTGTTGGCATTTAATTGATCACTGCGCACTAACAGGAAGGCTCTTCCTGCAAAGGGAGCGAAATACCAATGATTACCATCAACAATAGCAGATAATGATGGAAATTTATCTACATCGGAAGATAGATCCACCTCCCTTATCAGTTGCTTTTTATGCTCATGGTCGAACATTGTTTGGCTCACTTTTGTTGACTTTAGGAGTTTACACTGATGGGACTTAATATAAAGCTGAGGTGAAGTGAACATATACATCACATGTTATCGTAACACCCATTTTTAAGTAGATAACTTTCGTTGGATAATCATCATCAGTTCTTGTAACATCGGTAATCTCTTTGACAGTATATTCTTGAGTTAGACGCTCAGTAGAATCGTTAACATAGCAAAAAGCTACAAATTTTGCAGGCATTATTTTTTAATAAAATATTTTTTTTTCGGAATTTAAATATACGTAAAATTTTTTCTCTATTTATTTATTTCTCAAGCTAAATAAATGTCTGTAATGTTTTTATAAAAAAAAAATATAATATCGTAGACATTTTAATTTTATTTTATTTTATTTTATTTTTACTTTTAAATTTTAATTTATTTTCACGTAAAATTTTTTTTATGAAAAAATTACTAAATATTTACATAATTTAATAATTTATGTTATGTTATTTATTAAAAGTCAAAAAAGTACGTTTTCGCATAAATAAAATATTTATGGAAAAAAATTGCAAATATTTACATAATTATCTTACGCGTGAGATATTCATTTTAAACCGAAAAAAAATATTATGTACATTTTTCATACTTAGTTATAATTTAAATAAACAAGTTAACTTAGTCATAACCGGAAGTTTTAAATAGCTCCATATGAGACAAACTTCTTAATATTAAAATAGTAATAATAATAAATATTTATTGTTTAAAAATAAATAATAAATAAACTACACAAATATTAAGAAGTGTTTAAATTTCAAATTATTTGTATTTTTTTTTCTATTTATTTTATTTGCTAATTGTATTAATCTCTTCTATAGTTGATAAATCTGATCTAACAATTCAGGAAAAAATAGCAATTGATGAAACTTCAAGTTAAATCTAGTTATTCTAAGAAACGGGCAGATATAGCCAAGAAAATATCATTAAATAGAAAAGAGGGAAGAAAAACGGAAACTAAAGTTAAAAATTATTGTATTGTAAAGATAGCAACAAAAGAAAAAAAAATTATGAACGTATTAATTATGAGATTCCAAAAAACGAAATTTTGTCCAATAAAATCGTGAACAAGGTTACATCAATTCTAAAAATGGATATTTAATTGTCGATCACTTAGTTAATTATTCGAGTCACGTGACACATATTAATTACGACACACACTTTACGGCAAAACGTCACAACCTTTACAACCAGTTACAACTTACGGCGACCAATCCTAACGATAATGCTTTTTATGTGGTAAAGATGATGGTTATATGACCTTAAAGTTTTGATGAGGAGAAACTTTCAACCTTTGGAACCTTTGGAACCTTTGGAACCTTTGGAACCTTTGGAACCTTTGGAACCTTTGGAGGCAGTTGCGGGTAGCGAAGTAAAGATGATACTTGCCTGTGCGACCATAAATAAAAAAGTTGTGATGATTAAATAGATAGTGGAACAGTGACATATGTTGTACACTCCACCTTGGATCAAGAATGATAAGAACGGAAAAATAATTTAATATATTCTGAAAAAATTCTATTGTCAAATAGGAAGATTTTGATTTGTAACTGCGGAACTTTTTCTGGATGTATTGTAATAATTATAGGTTTTAAAATATAAAACAAAAACATTGGAAATTTTATATTAGTACGTAACGTATGTAGTGCTTTATTATTCGTCTTTTTACGTCTGCATCGTTGAAAAGTGTAGCATTTGCGTAGCTTGATGATCTTCAAAAGAGAGAAATTTTTTTAAAAAAAAGATTTTAAACTATCGAAGCAGTGATTCATATAATGACAATCTCTTTTTTTTCTTTCTTTTGTACACGTACATTGATTTGCATAAATTTATGTAGTACAATGTTGCTGTAACATTCACTTTGTTACATATTATATAAATAACTACGGAGTTAAACACTTAAACCACCGGTTTCTTCTTTTTTTTTTTATTTAAAAAATTAATAAATATATTTATAAAAAAAAATTTAAAGCCTTATAACATATTTCATTATGTCATTTGGTAAAAATAAATTAATTAATAATGCGATTAACAGATCATATGCATTAATGGATTCAAATGTTCGTAGTAGTACACACAAAGCTTATGAATTTTGTAAACAGACAATTCTTGATGATGAATCACTTACGGAAAATGAAAAATCTGAAGCAATAGGAATACTAACTGAAAATTATGATCATAACAAACTTCTTTTTAATGCAGGGACAAAAAGAATTTGTGAAAATTGTAACCAAAAATGTTTAGCTACAACATATTGTGAAAATTGTGTTCGAAATTATTTAAAAGAAAATTTTTCAAATTGGACATCTGGAAATGTTATTATTGATAATTTAATACAAAAATGTCAAATAAAAACAATTGTCCCATATCTAATACCAGAATGGATTCCATATAATAATCTACAAAATATTAAATATCTAGCAAAAGGTGGATTTTCAGAAATTTATACAGCGAGCTGGATTGATGGGCATTTTATTGAATGGGATTCTGAAAGGCAACAATTAAAAAGATTTGGAAATCAAATTGTAATACTTAAAAGATTGAAAAATGTTGAAAATGCAAGCCAAAGTTGGATTGAAGAGGTTTGTAATTTAAAAATTAAAAAAGTTAACAAATAAATATTTTATTTAAAATTTTTAATGGTTTATTTTATAGGCTAAATCACATTTAAATATTAGCAATAAATATGCCCTATGAAAAAAGTCTGTGTGATTTTTGTTGAAAAATCATTCAATTAAATTCACTACGATTTCTGTATATTTGACCATACAATAATTGTGCTAAAAATTGCAATAAATCACACAATTATTGCATGGTAATTCATTCAATAATTATCCTATTTTTGACTCAAATTTTAGGCCATATTTTAGGAATTATAGGTTAAATTTTACAGTAATAACAGGCAATTTATAAAGTGAAATTATGAATTTTTTTTATTGACTTAAAATATAAAAAATATACACAATATTTCATAAATAAAATACTAAATTTGATATAATTATAAATATAAAAATTTGTAAGAAAATAAAATAAAATAAAGTATGTTAATAACATGAAAGTAAATTAGCTAGTAGTATCATCAAAGAAGAAAGTAAATTATTAGTGTAAGTAAATTAATAAAAAAGTATGAAGTTAGTGAAGAAAGCAAATTAGTAGTGTTAAAAAGTAAATTATTAGTGTTAGTAATAAAAAAGTATGAAGTAAGTGAAGAAAGCAAATTAGTAGTGTTAAAAAGTAAATTATTAGTATTAGTAATAAAAAAAAAAGTATGAAGTTAGTGAAGAAAGCAAGTTAGTAACATTAAAATGTAAAAAGTTAGGAAAATAAAAAGATAAAGAACACAAGTTTTTCTTACCTGATATTTTAAAAGAAAGTTGAAGAAAAGTTAAAAGGTTAAAAAAACATAAACAAAAACATTTCGCGTTATCATATTTATTTTGACGATCAGATCACGTGACCAACATATATAATTTTAAGAGTTGATTTTTACCGCATAATTCTGGCCAAATTATAATTCCGGTCAGAACTAATTGTGTAACCTAATAAAAAGTTTTTGACTTTTTTTTAGTTACAAGATGATACAAAAATTTCACCAATGGGTCNAATTATAATTCCGGTCAGAACTAATTGTGTAACCTAATAAAAAGTTTTTGACTTTTTTTTAGTTACAAGATGATACAAAAATTTCACCAATGGGTCTGGAAGATGCCCGTTTATAAGCAAATATGCGGTTGAATTTTATGTAACTTTACTGCATAAATCACTTTACTTAGGAAAATCTATTTGTAATGGTTAAAAGTGGTCTATTCGACCCTAAAAGTGGTCAAATGTAACCATACAGGTAAGATGGAAAGTAGTATAATAGGATTACCCAAAAATTGCTTTCTGTATCCTAAATTTAAGTCTATTTTCAAGTTGTACAATAATCACAATTTTTATTGTACAAAAATTGAATGTTTTCTGTATCCTAAATTTAAGTTGTATAAAAATCACACAAAAATTGAACATTTTCTATATCCTAAATTTAAGTTGTACAAAAATTGCATACTTTTAATATGCTTTGAAAAACTTCATAACTATTTTTATCCAAAAATCTGCAATAATTGTACAATTTCCACACGGACTTGAACAAATATTGTACAAAAATTGGATGATTTTTTTTCATAGGGATGGTGAAATTGTCCATTGTTTTGGATTAACACAAAATCCATCAAATGGAGATTATATGCTTGTAATGAATAAATATGATATAGATTTAAGAAAATATTTACAACAAAATCATAATCAACTTACATGGAAAGAAAGAATTCAAATTATTACAGATATAACTATTGCACTTAGAAGTATTCATGAAGAAAATGCAATTCATAGAGATTTGCATTCTGGAAATATATTATTCAAAATTGGCCTAGGATGTCATATTAGTGACCTTGGATTTTGTGGACCTGCAGATAAACCATTAAAAAGTATATATGGGAATCTTCCTTATATAGCACCTGAGATTATTATTGGAAAAGAACAGACTTTTAAATCTGATATTTATAGTATTGGAATGCTTATGTGGGAAGTTTCGTCAGGACAACCACCATTTATTAATTATGAACATGATTATGATCTTGCAATGGATATTGTTAATGGTATGAGACCAAAAATTGTACCAGGAACTCCTTTAGAATATAAAAATTTAATGAAACAATGTTGGGATGCTGGTCCATCAAAAAGACCTGATATTGTTACACTTGATGAAAAAATAAACGAAATTAATCTATTTTATCAAAATAAATCAAATGAATTATTAACTCAACCAGAAGAAAATAATAACTTTGAAATAGAAAATTGTACTAGTCGTAGCAAACTGTTTACAAGTAAACTTCATCAATTTGATAATCTTCCTGAACCAAGAAATGCGACAGAAGGTATTTATTGATTTATTAACCTTTTTGTTTAATTTCTTAAAAGGTGTATTAATATATATCAGATATGTTTATTTTTTTATTCAAATAATAATAGAAAAACAAGAAGGTACAAATTAGATAAAATATATAATTTTAATTTATAAACATTAATGGTAATAATGGTTAATTTTTTTTATAGCACTCCATAGTAATAAATCATATGATTTTTGTATTCTTAATAATAGTAAGTGCAATTGCATTTATATATGTCATATAATGAAGCGTTTTTTATTGACTTATTTTGCTTTTTTTTAGTTGACGATTTTAATAAATCAAGTAGTAAGAAAAATAGTACTTTAAAAATAAGTACCATATTTAAAAGTAATTAAATATTATATTTATTTTAAAATAGTCAAAAATGAATGTATAACTTATATTTAAGATTATTTAGATAGCAGCAAAAAGTTATCCAATATATTTAAAAGAAGCTCAAAAAATGGTAAGTAAAATAATTTAAAATATGTGAATTTTTATTATAATATTAAACATGATTTATTATTTATATGTTTACAAAGTTGAACCAAGAATAAAGAAACTTCATATTAGTGATAATGGTACGATAAAACAATTATCTAAATTCTTAAAATAATTATTCTGTGGTATTTTTTTTTAATTTTAAATTTTAATTTATATTTGATAGATAAAGATGAAGCACATTAACAATCCAAATCTTTATTCAGAAGAACAAGATGAATTGGAACTTCCCGAAAGTAAGAATTATTTTTTAAAATGTTTAAAAATTACCTCTTAAATTACCAAATTAAACGAAATCTTTTTTTTCTTAATTTTAGATATTTAGATACAGAATAATTATATAAATTGAATTAGACAACATTTATATTATACCTGATTTTGTTTTTATCATAAATTATTTAAACACTATGACTTGGTGAAATTTTCTTCAAGATTCTTAGTTTGTAATTATTTTTTATTTATTTTTTATTTGTTTTTTATCTTTATATTAATTTATATTTAGTAAAATATCATGTGTATAAACTGAACATGTATTTATTAAATAAATTTTATAGTATATTTTTAAATGTAAAAATTTTATAATATTTCATGCAATATAATTCACACAAGAAAATATTAAATATAAATAGCTAACTACAGTGATCGTTAATAAATTTTTGGCAGGAATTGTCAGAATTATCATAATTTTGGATCAAAATCGCATGAACGGCATGGTATACTATGTATCCACCACACACAGCCGCATCTCGGTAATATAGCGATCTCACTAACCAATAAATTTTTGATATAATTTTTTTTATAAATAATTAAATATTCGCTACCCTTGTAAAACTTATACTTATTTTTCAAGGGTTTAAATGAATAAAAATAAGTACAATGTGTAATAATAACAAATATTAAAATACTTGAACTTTTTTTTTTAATACAAACTAGTGTGGCGTCAAGAATTAAGTTGTCACTGTCTTTAATATTTTTTCAGTTAATGTTATTTATTGTGAGTTGTGTATTTATGTTTTTATTTGTAATAATGTAGAATATATTAAGAAAAAGAATCTGTTTATGGATTTTTTTCGCTTTATTATCAATTCTCTCATCCGCTTTTAAGTATCTACATTTTATAATAAATTTCCCTTTCCAACAAATTCATTAACATTAAGTTTAATACTTTTAAATAAATCATCATCATCTTGTGCTTGTCTTATAACGTAACTAAATGAAAAAAACAGATGGGTGAAGTTGCTACTGATATTGCTGGTTGAACATAAGTAATATTTGACATTGATGGATTTGGAAGTGTATCATCTTGAGGTTTTGAATGACTTTCATTTTTTTAATGATCTTACTTCCATTTTTAAATATTCAATGTAACTGTCTTTACCTTTTTCAATGAATTCAATTAAACTAAAAAAAAGTACTAATTATAAAGTCAACTAGGTGAGCGTAATGCAGCAGCTTTACTTTAATAGGTTGGCCTAATCTAACATTTCTCACCTTTCTAAGCTTTTCCTTTTTGTCTAATTCCTTTTCCAGCTTTCTATTTCCATGAAACCTTTTATAAAAAAAAGTTTATTTTTCAAAAATAAAAATCCATTATCTAATTATAAAACCAATTATTTTTTCGAGAATGAGTTTTTGAGTCGCTATAATATCATTTTTTATTTCAAGATGAAATTTTTTTAACCATGATTTTTAGGTGTAAAATGAAAAATATCTAGTTTGAGGAATAACTTGTCAATAAAACTTTTTTATCCCTGATTATATTAAAAGAAAATTAAATGTTTTACATTAAAATAAAATTTTTATTAATAAGTTGTAAAGAAAAGTCAAGTATTATTAAAAGAAAATCAGAATGGTAGTCAACTTTACAGTATAGTCTAACATAAATTGTTTTATAACATGTAACGCGTCTTTTATAAGTTCGCGTAAAAGATGAAATGATATTGGTTAGTGATTTTGACGGACTGATATACAGTTTAATTATACCTTTTATGTCAAATATTTTTTATAACACAAGCCACTGATTTTATTGATGCGCAGTTAAAATTGTTATATGGTAATAAAATAATATGTAAGTGACTCATAATTATATAAGATAATTTGAAGGACTGATATACAGTTTAATTATACCTTTTATGTCAAATATTTTAATTTATTAAAATTCCGAACTGACATTTAAATATAGACTATTACAGTTTAATTATACTTTTTATATCAAATAGAATAATTTTTTTGCTTACAAACTTATACTGTTGTTATTTATACAGTCCTTTTTTCTTTTTTTTTTTATTACACATCCTCTTATTCCAAACATCCTCCTATTTCACACATACACATCCACTTATTCTTTCCCTCCTTTAGGTAACAAACTTTTTTCGCGCAAATAAATATTTTTGTTTTTTTTTTTGCACGAAAAAATAATATCCTCTTATTCTTTTCCTCTTTTAGAAAAAGGTAACCTTTTTTTCGCGCAAATAAATATTTTTATTTTTTTTTTACGCGAAAAAAATATTCTTCCTTTCTATTATTCTTGAGAAAGGTAATAAACTTTTTTTTGCGCAAATAAATATTCTTATTTTTTTATTGCACGAAGAAATAAATATTCTTTCCTATAAAATATTTTATTTTCATATATGTATTTTTTTTCATTCATTCAAATAAATATTTTTTTTTTTTTTTTTT